ATTTTACTTCAAATATGCCTAAAAGGCAAAAATAAAAAAACAAATTTTTAGAAAATGTACTTAAAACTAAAAAACACACCCCAAAAAAAAAAAAAAAAAACCCCCAAAAAAAAAAAAAAACACTAAAAACGAGGCTAGTGACTTTACCATCTCCAATGATTTTTCAAACCTTCTATCAAATTTAAATTTGATAAAAAAATGACTCATTTTTTTGTTCAAATAGTTATTAAATCAAGAATTTCAATATTTCTTCATTAAACTAAGGATCAATATAGTTTTCATTAAATCACTGTTTATTGTCGTTGTTAGATGTCTTCTCGATCGTCTCCAGATGACTACTTAAAAGTAAAAATTTATGAAAAAATTATTCTACTCAGTCGAGTAGTCAATCATTTCGATGTTTTGTTGAAATTTTAAAATTTTTCGTTAAAATATTTAATATCAAAAGAAATTTTTATTTAAATTTAATAAAAAAATTAATATACCGTTAAAAATACTCTTAGGTACTCTTAGGTGTGCCACATCGTTGATTGTAACGGCTAGGAGGGGAACGATTTTGTTTGGCAGGAGTTTGAGAAGTCATGCTATCCCCCTGTCACAGCAACTTACCGGCCACGTGATGGACTCCACACCCCCCAACTCATCAAAAGGTGCAAAAGCTTTGACAAATGAAAAAGACAATCCGTTTAACTTATCCCCTTAAATGACCCCTCAAAAATATAAAACAACCAAAAAAAAAAAAATTGAATTTTTAAATTCAAGTCAAATCAAGTCTGCATTGTTTCTAAGATTAGTTTCTCCAATTGGAAGGTGTATAAATTTCGTTTTTGATAATTTAAATTATTTATGTATATTATTTATAAAAAAGTTAATAATTATATAATATCCAATATATTATTGTCACAAAAAAAGGGATAATTTATTTTTTTTAAAGTATTTTTCTTTTATTTTTTTAAATAAATATAATAAATTAAAAATATTATAATTATCAAATTAACTTAATTTTTTTTATATAACTAATATACACAAAAAAATCATATAAATTAAATAATTCAAATTCTGAAAAAGAAACCCATAATGAAATTAAAATAAAACATTATCGTTTTGAAGTGTTAGCTTTAAAAGTTACCTTATCATTTTATTTCATTTTTAAAGTTAAAATTACTAAATTACATGTCTTTAACTTGTGTGTTTTGTTATGAAAAAATCATAAATAAAAATTGGATACACGGCCAACGGCATTGGCCCTGTTTGGTAGAGCTGTGGGAAAGTGCTTATAGGTTATGTCTAAACAGCTTATAACTTATAATTATGAACATAAACTGATTTCTGACTTATAAATTAAGAATCTCCTGCCACACTCAAAGAATAAGTTGATTTCTGACTTCCAAAAAGCTATAAGCTAAACCAAACACTTCAAAATAGCTTAAATTAAGCTGAAAGCTAAAATAAGTAACTTTTAAGCTGCACCAAACAGGCACATAGTTCATCGATTCATGTGAACAAATTCAAACACTTTATCATCAGAATATATAAAGAGAGATGTATCTAGAAATCTCATTTATGTAATTGTTTTAAATGTAAATATTTATACTTATCGTTTTAAAAATAGATATTATTTTATTTATTAGAAGTATGAATGTTCACATTTTTTAAATTTCACATTTATAAAAACATTCACAGCACATATATATGAAGAGTAAGATTTTAAATATGATATTTATTAGCTTGCATGATTTTCTCATAATATATAGATTATAATTCAAATGGGACAAGTATTCAAACTTGGAGTGATTTTCTTCTAAAATATAAATTTGTAAAAATATATATATTATTGATTGAGATAGATGTTACAAGATTGTTGTATTGATATATTGTATTACAAATCAGAGTGGCATTATATAGGAGAGGGTTTAAGTATTACAAATAGAATTTTTGAAAAAAAATTCCAAATAAAAATAATAATATACAAATATAAAATATATATAACGATTTAACTAATTTGAACCTATTATTTTAGAACGAATAGTCTATTGAGATATCTTTGGATAATTCTATTTCTACACACTAATTTCTTTCAATACACATACTTAATAAGCACCTTCTCAATACACACATTATAAAAATATAAATTCTTATTACACATTTCTATATTCCAATATTACTCTCATTTTCAATTTTAAAACCTTAAAGCTATGTTTAGTTTCAATGTTTAAATCAATTTTTTTGAGAAAATTATAAATTAATTTGACAAAAATCAATACCAAAACAATATTTTAAAATTTTTAAATTCTTTTGCCCCTAGATAGATAAAACCATATTGAAATGAGAAGTTTTATTTATTTATTTTTGAAAACATATTCTAAAATTAGATTAAACATGGCCTATTTTTTTTTTTCATGTACCCATTCATCCTTTATTGTTGTTGCTGCCACTTTCAACCCTCCATTGCCACCACCACCATTACTTCTAGCTCATCCCTCTCCATTCTAGATCTCCACAATCAACCTTGAGTGATTCGCGGTGGAATACTTGTGGGAGTAAAAAGGGTAAAAGAGGTGATGGGAGAGGATGGCGGATGAGAGAGGTGACATTGGTGATAGAAAATGGTTGTGATGTTTTAGAATTAGGGTTTTGGGTAGAAGAAAATGAGAGTATTATAATATTTTTATTCTAGAACAAAATAATATTAATGAAAATTTTCATTGAGAAGAATTAGTGTATGGAAATAGAATTACTCGATACCTTTAGTTACGTAAATGACATTGCCAAATCATTACGGTGCAAAAATTTGTATAAAAATCCAAATGGAAAACCATTTTTCAATTAAAAATCAGGTGCTAATAACCAATCTCCTAGGTTGAATTGATGAGAGTTAATATAAAGAGAATGCTAGGTATAATTAAATCTCATATATATAATTTCACACATATATATATCTAATGGGGATTTAAATCTCATATATCTAATTTTTCTGTATATATAAATAAAGAATACTAGGTATTAATGTAACGTAGAGACAAAATTAATGGGAAACGTAATTCCCAGTTCACTTTTTAATCTTTTATTATTCTAAAATTACACATAGCAATTTTCGCTAGGATAAATTTTAAAGCACATTATATATATAGATAGAGTGCCAAGAACGTTTTCTAATTCACTACTAAAACGTAATCTAAAAAAATGTAATATAAAAAGTAGAAAAGAAATTCATACTAAAATTGGATGTGGACCACGCGGTATGTGACATACCAAATAAATTTGATTACATATTCAAAAATAAAAATTATACAAAGTTGTATAGAAATGTGGATGGAGGTTGGCTGTTGTGCACCTTGGCACAACAGTCATTGTTGTAAGTATAATGAGACTCAATTTGAGTTTTACTTCCCTTTTTAAAACTTCGAAAAAAATAACGATAATCAGATATTAGTAGTGTTATGATTAGATTAAATTTGTATTCAAAATGTAAATTTGATTTGATTATAAGGTTATCAATATTCGATAATCTTAATTTTTTATAAAGATATTTTACTCGATGTGTCTTAAAAAATAAATAATTCAAATTATCAATGTGAAATTTGAAATGGACCCATTGTGATCATAGCAGCCTACCTCTATCCTAAAAATGTGGCGTGAATACTTTTTTAAGCTTAATATCATTTTTAGTATATCACTTTATTTATTTTGGGGTCTTTGGTATAACTTGTATTAGTGCATTTATTTGAATAATATTAATTCTCTATTTTTTTTGCATATATTTTCATAAAAAATAAAAAATATATATTTATTTAAATCATCTCATTTCAAATACTCCTTTAATTTATAAACTTGCATGTATTGATTCCCCGACTATAAAAATCATATAATACCCCTTTGATGAGGTTCGGAGGGAGTTTGTAAGAAGTAAAAATGATACATTTTAGGATTTATTTGGGAAGTAGATTGATTTTTTGACTATTTTAACTTAGGGCTAAAAAGTCTTGCTTGTGAAGAGTTTTTTTGGCTTTTTTAATTTTTTTTTAGAGAAAGAATGAAATGATTATAGGTTGAATGCAATATTTTGTCTCATTAGGGTAAAAAACTTATTTTATCTTTTTGTGACTAAAATAATTCCAAACCCACCTAACCCATTCTTCTCAAACGAAATCTTAATGTAAATAATCTTAGTTTTTATTGTTACAAAATTAAAAGAATAAATTAATATTCACTAAAGAGATTTCGGTATAAATAATTCTAGTCTTTATTGTTACTTGAAAAAATAATAATCACCAACACCATAGGTTCATTTTCAAAATACATATTATTATTTTTTTTAAAAATAAAAAATTAGTTCAACAAAAAATAAATAAAAAATAATAATACATAAGGTGTGTATAATAAAATTTCTCTTATTTGTAAATTTTTATTTTATTTTTTTAAAATTTTGTTTTTGTGCTGATTTCAAAAACATCAGTCCGCAGGGAAAGACAGCTCCACCACCGCGTAGCCCTCTGACCCCCTAAATCCCCAATTCTCCGTCTTTTCCTTCTCTCTCCTGTCTCTCTCTCTCTAAAAATTCTTCTTCACAGAGTGAGAAACAAAGACCAAATCAAACACCCATCCGCATCAGCAGCCAAGAACCACTAATCTTTCTCTGTTTTGTCTCCATTTTACACACTTCGATTTGCCCGAAAGATCTTTGCAAACCCAAAGATTCAAAAAAACACACAACACTCTCAACACCATTTACTCTCTTCATTTTAAAAGGTAAAAAATTCTCTCTATCCAAACACACACACACACACACAATATATATATATAAAAATATTTTTTTGTGTATAGATGATGAGTGGAGGGCCTGATCGCCGGCGGATTGTTTATGGGTTTTTTTTTTTTTGGATGGTGATTTTGTCTTTTGAGACTATTCTCAGCTGAGTTTTTGAGGTAGGTTTGTACTCGGTCACAGACTCAGTCTCTGTTTTGAATTGTTACTTAGAGAGAGAGAGAGAGAGAGAGAGAGTGATTACGTCGTTTTTGTTGGATAATAGTAATAAAAGAAGGGTTTGTTGTAGTTGTTATTGAAAAAAATGGAGGACTGGGTCATGAAAGCTTTGTGACAGTTGTGTGACTTTTAATACTTATGTATATGCGTGTGTGTATGTAGATATATGTATTTCATCATATTTGATTTGAATGTTTCTTTAGACACGCCCTTTGAAGTCGTTTCATTTATTTATTTATTTATTTCTACTAAGAATTAGAAAACGAGTAATAGAGATGTTTTTGTCATATATATATACGCACTCATATAATATCTTTCATTGACATTTGCGTATCTGCTATTTTCTTGGGTTCCGGCTATTTTATGCGTTTGGGCAGAGTTGGGTTCTGGAAATGCTGTTTGACAGATAGAAAGTACTGTTGTTTTTGCATCTCCAGATCATAGGTACTTTTTTGTAAATTTTTTTGCTTTTGAACTTCTTTTGTTTTGTGTTGGTGGGGAAAAAATCTTGGGGTTTTGGTTCAGAGGTTGAAGAGAGAGAGAGAGGGAGAGAGAGAGAGAGAGAGAGAGAGAGAGATTTTTGTCATGATTTTGTTGTTTTGATCTAGCATGAGATTTCCCATTTTGCCAAATTGCCCTCTTTTGTTTCACTATTTTATATACAAATATTTCCCATTTGCATTTGAAACGCAGAATTGAAAGTAGTGCTAAGATAAATCATTATCTTCTAGCTAGAGAGAGAGAGAGAGAGAGCTAAGGGATTAGAGTTTGAATTGCTTTGAACTCTGTCTGAAAATTTTGTGGTTGAAACCTTTGTTGATTCACGTCTGTGTTATTTAATTTCAGGAACTGTTATATATATAGTCTTCTACTACACATTTTAAGGGATTAGAGTTTGAATTACTTTAAACTCTGTCTGAAAATTTTGTGGTTGAAACCTTTGTTGATTCACTTCTGTGTTATTTAATTTCAGGAACTGATACTACTACACATTTTAATATCATGACTTCAAGATCGTTTAGAGGTTCTGAATCACTGCAAGGAAAGTCAATTCCTATGTCAGTAAAATTTGCAAGGAGGACTTCATCAGGCCGATACGTTGACTACTCTAGAGAGTCGAATGATCTCGATAGTGATATTGGCAGCGGTGAAATTGGCAGTGGTGAGTTCATGAACTACACGGTGCATATACCACCAACACCTGATAATCAACCTATGGATGCATCAATCACACAGAGGGTTGAGGAGCAATATGTGTCGAATTCAATGTTTACAGGAGGGTTTAACAGCGTTACTCGTGCCCATTTGATGGATAAGGTAATTGAGTCGGAAACGAGCCACCCCCAGATGGCAGGTGCAAAAGGGTCTTCGTGCTCAATACGCGGTTGTGATGGGAAAGTGATGAGCGATGAGAGAGGTGAAGATATTCTCCCTTGTGAATGTGATTTTAAGATATGTCGTGATTGTTATGTTGATGCTGTGAAAACCGGAGATGGGATTTGTCCCGGATGTAAAGAGCCTTACAAGGCCACGGATTTGGATGAGAAGGCAGTGGATAATAACCGGCCACTACCTCTGCCGCCTAGTATGGGGTTGTCGAAGATGGAGAGGAGGTTGTCCTTGATGAAATCAACAAAATCAGTGTTGATGAGGAGCCAGACAGGTGATTTTGATCATAACCGATGGTTGTTTGAGACCAAGGGAACTTATGGATACGGGAATGCTATTTGGCCTACGGAGGGGGGATATGGGAATGAGAATAATGGTGGGGGCGGTGAGCCTGCAGAACTTCTTAGCAAGCCCTGGAGGCCCCTGACTCGTAAATTGAAGATATCTGCTGCAATTTTGAGCCCATATCGGTATAATTTCTCTCCCTCACTGATCTTTCTTGATCATTGTTTTATGTTGATTGTTTTCCCCATTTTTCTATTTTGTTTTGAATGATACAAAATCAAGCAGCCATTTTAATATTACTTTTATTTTGTATTTGATTGCGTAAGATTTCATTGAGCCCATATGGCACATTACCTTGACATCATAGATTATGTTATATGTTACTGTTCATGATTGAAAGGCCGACCAATAGAAAAATTATTGAAAGGTGTTAAATAGTATTACATAAACAAAAAATATTCGAATGGAAGACTTTGTTATATGAAAAATATATAGAACAAATGTAATACCTTTTGTTTAGTGTGATGTATGAAATTTTCAGTGGTATCTATTTCACCTTTGTTGATGTTCTTTTGCGTAGTAAAATCATGTTCACTTTCTGCCGATCCAAAACATACCAGTTGGTGGTTTATGTTCTTTTACTTCTATTTTTTTTCTTGGCAGTTATTCCTACTCAAAGTTTAGTCTTTATATATCAATAAATTGATTTACATGGGTGTTTCACACAATGAACATGCTGTTATTGACTAAGGCCTCGTTTGGGAACAGGCTAATTTAGTAACTTTTTTGGCTATTTGGTTAAAATATGAGCTAAAAAAAACTAGTATGTTTGGGATGACTTTTTGGCTTTTTACGAAAAGATGTGCAAAAGGTAAAGAAAAAAGAGAATCTTTGACTTTTTGGTATGGATTGTTGACTTTTTGGCTAATTTAGTAACTTTTTGACTTTTTGGCTAAAAATGAGGGTTCCCAAATGAGGCCTAAGAAGCAGAGACTAGGAATGGCAGCATGACACAGATACGACACGGACAAACCAGCATGGCTAATTTATAAGATGCAGTACACAACACGTGGGGGATGTGCACAAAATGTATAGTTTTATATACGTATTATATGTCATAATATACGAATATATCATTAAAAGATAATAAAAAATGCAACATAACACTAATTTCTATCAATTTATATTGTTTTTCTTTTATCATTGTATCATAAGTTAGTTTGCTCAAACTTATAATTAGTTTCGTGGGTGTCTAGTGATGGACGCATGTATCTATTTTTTTTTTTAATTATAAAAAATAGGACACATCTAGCCGTGTGTCGGACTTGCTAGAAGTATGAGATGAGTGTTAGTGTCCAAAACAGACATACACCTTCTTAGAAGTGTCCGTGCTTCTTAGATTATTGGATAAGCTCCCACATAGTGCTGGCTACATTTTGAAATACTTCAATCTGTTTTCTATTCGTATGTGTTTTGTGTGTTTGTTGCTTCTGTCTAATGTGAAATTAGCCATAATGATGAAAAAGAAGTTTGTGTATTTTCTAATTGGGAATGTAGAATAAAATTGCATGCTGACATTCGACTTCATTTTACTGCCATATGAATACAGGCTCCTAATCTTTGTCCTTAAAATATGAGCTAAAAAAAACTAGTATGTTTGGGATGACTTTTTGGCTTTTTACGAAAAGATGTGCAAAAAGTAGAGAGAAAAAAGAGAATCTTTGACTTTTTGGTATGGATTGTTGACTTTTTGGCTAATTTAGTAACTTTTTGACTTTTTGGCTAAAAATGAGGGTTCCCAAATGAGGCCTAAGAAGCAGAGACTAGGAATGGCAGCATGACACAGATACGACACGGACAAACCAGCATGGCTAATTTATAAGATGCAGTACACAACACGTGGGGGATGTGCACAAAATGTATAGTTTTATATACGTATTATATGTCATAATATACGAATATATCATTAAAAGATAATAAAAAATGCAACATAACACTAATTTCTATCAATTTATATTGTTTTTCTTTTATCATTGTATCATAAGTTAGTTTGCTCAAACTTATAATTAGTTTCGTGGGTGTCTAGTGATGGACGCATGTATCTATTTTTTTTTTTAATTATAAAAAATAGGACACATCTAGCCGTGTGTCGGACTTGCTAGAAGTATGAGATGAGTGTTAGTGTCCAACACAGACATGACACCTTAGAAGTGTCCGTGCTTCTTAGATTATTGGATAAGCTCCCACATAGTGCTGGCTACATTTTGAAATACTTCAATCTGTTTTCTATTCGTATGTGTTTTGTGTGTTTGTTGCTTCTGTCTAATGTGAAATTAGCCATAATGATGAAAAAGAAGTTTGTGTATTTTCTAATTGGGAATGTAGAATAAAATTGCATGCTGACATTCGACTTCATTTTACTGCCATATGAATACAGGCTCCTAATCTTTGTCCGCATGATTGTTCTGGGATTATTTCTTGCATGGAGGATCCGCAACCCAAATAACGATGCAATTTGGTTGTGGCTTATGTCCGTGATTTGTGAGATCTGGTTTGCATTCTCATGGTTACTTGACCAGCTTCCAAAGTTCTGCCCCGTGAATCGTGCTACGGATCTTAATGTTTTGAAAGAAAAGTTTGAATTGCCTGGTCCCCTTAATCCCACCGGAAAATCTGATCTTCCAGGCATAGACATCTTTGTTTCTACTGCAGATCCGGAGAAAGAACCACCACTTGTCACTTCCAACACCATTCTATCAATTCTTGCAGCTGATTATCCTGTAGAAAAGCTTTCTTGTTATGTTTCTGATGATGGAGGTGCTCTTCTAACCTTTGAAGCCATGGCAGAAGCTGCGAGTTTTGCCAACTTGTGGGTCCCATTTTGCCGGAAACATGATATTGAGCCTAGGAACCCAGAAACTTATTTCAGTTTGAAGAGAGATCCTTATAAGGACAAGATGCGCCAGGACTTTGTCAAGGATCGTAGACGGGTAAAGCGTGAGTATGATGAGTTCAAGGTTCGAATTAATGGCCTCCCTGATTCGATTCGGCGTCGTTCTGATGCATATAATGCTCGAGAGGAGATCAAGGCTATGAAGCATCAGAGAGAGAATGGCAACGATGAACCACTGGAAAACATAAAGATCGCCAAGGCTACCTGGATGGCTGATGGAACGCATTGGCCCGGCACTTGGATTGTTTCTGGTCAAGAGCACTCTAAGGGGGACCATGCAGGAATTATTCAGGTGAGTTTTTTGTTAACAGTTATTCTTAATTAGGGTTTTCATTAGGCATTTATTTTGGTTGACAATTAACCTTAATTATGCTTTATATAAATTGATAAGGTAATCTGATAAGATAATAGATCAAATATAGATTTAAAATGTACCAATTGAAATTGACCTAAGTATATAATATGTAATAATTGTATAAATTGCACATCTTATCTTAAAACGCTTTACATACTAGTATGATATAAGAAGCATGGACATGTGACACGACATAGACACGCCGACACGTTAATTTTCAAAAAATGCAGGACACGACACGTGGGGAACACGCATGAAATATGTAATTTTATATATTTATTATATGTTATACATATGAATATATCATTCAAAGATAATAAAAAATGTAATATGACACTAATTTCTATAAATTTATATGGTTTTGGTTTTATTATTGTATCTTAAGTTGTTTTGTTTAAACTTATAATTAGTTTCACACATGTCCAATCAATAGACACGTGTATTTATACAATTGACATGTGTGTCCTCCAAGTGTCCAAAGAGTGTCCGGGTCTTCAAAAAAAATTTAAAAATGTCACACGTTTTGAAGAGTATTGGACACGTGTCCTAAGAGTGTCCAAAGAGTGTCGGTGTCCGACACGGATATGTCACCTTTTTGGAAGTGTTCGTGCTTCTTAGAGTATGATACATATATTTTCTAAACATGTTCATTATTTTTTAACTATTTTTTTGTTGAATGGATCATATAATAAAAGATATGCAACAATAGTTGATCCAAATTTGAACTTCACACTTTTTTTTGATGTACTGTTAGAGTATGTTATTCAATCATGAGGATCAGTTTTAGATTTATGCCAATTTAGTGTTTGTTATTCAAACTAGCGCCACTTGAACCCTATGTTACATGGACTTTTGGACATCTGACACTTGGACTCCGGCGTGGGATATGTGTCCAATTTTTTTCCATCAGACACTTCTTATATATTTGCATTTAACAATATCATTATATGTATATATTGTTGTATAATTGATATAAAATGTGTAAAATGTAACATAATTTGAACCCCATCAAACCTAGCTTGAATACTGATGACTATGAATTTGGTTCTAATGAGCTGTCTCTATAATTGCAGGTTATGTTGAAACCTCCAAGTGATGAACCATTACATGGTGCATCAGTTGATTCTAATCCTATCGATCTGACAGAAGTTGACATTCGGCTTCCTTTGTTGGTTTATGTTTCACGTGAAAAGCGTCCCGGGTATGATCACAACAAGAAGGCTGGTGCTATGAATGCTTTGGTTCGGGCCTCAGCCATTCTGTCCAATGGACCCTTTATTCTGAATCTCGATTGTGATCATTACATCTACAACTCTGAGGCGTTAAGAGAAGGTATGTGTTTTATGATGGACCGTGGTGGTGATCGTCTTTGCTACGTCCAGTTTCCACAAAGGTTTGAAGGAATTGACCCATCTGATCGCTACGCCAATCACAACACTGTTTTCTTTGATGTCAACATGCGTGCCCTTGATGGGATTCAAGGTCCAGTCTATGTCGGAACAGGATGTCTCTTTCGCCGGATTGCTTTATATGGTTTTGACCCTCCAAGATCAAAAGAACACCCCGGTTGCTGCAGCTGTTGCTTTGCTCCTCGTAAAAAATCTTCAACCGTTGCTTCTTCTCATGAGGAGAACCGATCACTTCGAATGGGAGATTCTGATGATGAAGGAATGAACATTTCTCTGTTTCCCAAGAAGTTCGGGAACTCGTCTTTTCTTGTTGATTCGATTCCGGTTGCGGAATTTCAAGGCCGTCCCCTTGCTGATCACCCTGCCGTGAAGAACGGACGGCCTCCAGGTGCTCTTACTATTCCTCGGGAGCTTCTCGATGCGTCTACTGTTGCTGAAGCAATTAGTGTCATCTCATGTTGGTATGAAGATAAAACCGAATGGGGCAATCGAGTTGGGTGGATTTATGGATCTGTAACCGAAGATGTGGTGACTGGTTATCGGATGCACAATCGGGGATGGAAGTCGGTTTATTGCGTCACCAAGAGGGACGCCTTTCGTGGGACTGCTCCAATTAATCTGACCGATCGGCTTCACCAGGTGCTTCGGTGGGCCACCGGTTCTGTTGAGATCTTCTTTTCTCGCAACAATGCTCTTCTGGCAAGTTCCAAAATGAAGTTCTTGCAGAGGATTGCTTACCTCAACGTTGGTATCTACCCGTTCACCTCCGTTTTTCTCATTGTTTACTGCTTCCTTCCGGCACTTTCTCTGTTTTCCGGTCAATTCATCGTCCAATCCCTCAACGTCGCGTTCCTCACGTACCTCCTGGTCATCACCTTGACTCTTTGCATGCTTGCTGTGCTCGAGATCAAGTGGTCTGGCATCGCTCTGGAAGATTGGTGGCGAAATGAGCAATTCTGGTTAATCGGAGGCACGAGTGCTCATTTGGCTGCTGTGATTCAAGGTCTTTTGAAAGTGATTGCTGGAATCGAGATATCATTTACATTGACATCGAAGTCTTCTGGTGATGATGATGATGATTTTGCCGATCTTTATATTATCAAATGGACGTCCCTGATGATACCCCCAGTTGTAATCATGATGACTAACTTGATTGCAATAGCGGTTGGGGTCAGCCGAACGATATATAGCACCATACCGGAATGGAGCCGCTTGTTAGGAGGGGTGTTCTTCAGCTTCTGGGTATTGGCTCATCTCTACCCATTTGCAAAAGGGCTTATGGGAAGACGGGGAAGGACACCCACAATTGTTTTTGTTTGGTCGGGACTTATTGCGATCACAATCTCTCTCCTCTGGGTTGCAATCTCCCCTCCAGCGGGCAGTACTCAAATTGGTGGATCTTTCACGTTTCCATGATTTTTCATTCTCAAGGTAAAAACTCATTTGTCATTGAGCCCTATTAGATTCCAAGTTTTTGCTGTTTTTTCTCCAGAAACTTGGGAAGTAAAATGGGCGAAGGCCTTGTGATGATATCGGATTCATTGGAATCTTTATTTCTTGATTCTTGTCGAAATTTTGGATGTCCATAGTGGGAGACATTATACACATTCTTTGTAATTAGAGACACATGTTAGTTGAAATTATAAGTTGATTTGTTTCATAGTTGTGCTCTTCTGACATTCTGAACTTGCAATGTTCAGTCATATCTGTCAAATCTCTCTTGAGAATTGAGAATTCCATCACTTCTAAGCTGTATTTTTGTTTGCCATTTTTTGTTTATTGACTCGAAAAACTTACTGTTTATTCACAAAACATATTTGAATTCGGCAAATGGGGTATCGTGTGATTGTTTTTCTGAGTTATTAAGTCATAATTATATCTCCAGCCGAAAATTTTGATTTTTTCAACGGTATCTGTTTGCTGATTCTTATGTGCCTCAAATCAGTTTGGATTAGGAATTCATTGACTGATTCTTAGCACGAGACGCGGAGAATACAAAATTTCTTTCATTTCTTTTATTGCATCCTATCACTAGGTCTTTTTATTTTCTTCAACATTACTTACTTCGTATATTTCAGTATTAAGTATTGACGTTAGGTTTGGGTGGTTGAACTAACAATCCAGGAATTAGTCATCAGAGTTCGAAATTCCATGCTATGATGCAATTCTCAACTGTTTGTTATGGGAATGAAATACAACTTTAATAGAGTGCTCTCTAGTGCAAGGATATTCTTCATTCCTTTTCATTGCATGCCAGAATTTTTTTAATTTTTTGGCCTTTGACTAGCCTTTTGATGTTTCTAGTTTGTACTAGCACGTGTAGAGAGAGAGGTTTCATATAGTCTCTGTTTGGATACAGGACAGGACAAATAATCCTATTCTGGTGTTTCCATTATGATTGGATGGAATTTTGGACTAATGCCAAATTATATCTAGGTTTTGAGGGAAATATGGGAATATCACTTGAGGTCGAGAAAATGGTCAAGTTTCAAGGAATTAAACCGTCTTGATAATCCATGGCTACTAAGGAAGTGTTTGGTTCGCTATAATAAAATTGAATGATTATTTTATCAAAATGTTCATTCATATGTTTAGTTGATTAAAAAAAAATGAAAAATGCATCGGATATGGAATTATTATTCGCCATTATAAGGGAATAATCTTTCAATTTCATTATTGTAAATTAAATAGAGCATGAGAAGATTGGGAATAGTAGGCATTGATCGATCCTCAATAGGGGCCAATAGATTGGACATCTTGCACCCTTTCTTAACGTCACCATTCTGCCTCCCCCCATTCCTTCCCAGCCTTGCCCTCACCACCCAAACCCTACACTCTCTCTCTCTCTCTCTCTCTCTCTCTCTCTCTCTCTCGTTGTAGACGTGAGGGTGCGAAGGGGTTGGGGGTTGCGGGGATAGACTAAGAAGGGGCTGGCAAGGGTGGTAGGGAGAGTTGACGGAGTTGAGGATGGGCGGAGAAAGGTGTGGTGGCCGATAAGATTAGAGGGGTTAGAGATGTGAACAAAATTAAAATTTTATAATGAAATAAAAAATAACTAACAAAAGACAAGATTCTAAAGTAAAAAGTAAGGTGCGATTAATAGCACTCAAACAAAACATCGTTGTATAAATTTCACACTTTCACATTTTACATGAATCTACACAACAAACATTGCATATTAGAATATGCCCTATGAAAGACCCCATCTCTCACTCTCTCAAAGTGATTCCACCAAACACATGGATGAATCTTCCCTGATATAGCTGCCAGTGTGTCACGGGTTGCCTTGCAAGGCTAACTCCGTGACGTTTCGCTCACGGTGGTGTGGCCATTTGAGTGCTCAAGAATGGCCATTGGAAGTGCCCCAACGTGGCCTAACATTGGCCCTAAGTAGCCCAAGGCATGTATGCCACTAATAACCAGCAAACGGCAAAGCCGCAGTCCATGCCAATAGCCAACCAGTCATTATGACTCCTCAGACATGTATGATGTTTCCTCATGCCAGATGGAAAATTACTTAACCAGCATATATAAGGAGGTATGGTGTGCTACCTACCTGTCTCCCCGCCCAAACTGAGCTTGAAGTGAGCAACCTTGGGGCAACTCAAGGACGGGCTTTAGGCATTCAGAGGGGTGTCTAGAGTCTCCACGTGGGTTTGGGAGCCCTGTGGACGGTGCACTAATGTAAGCACTGCGCATGTCCTCCCGAGGGGAGGTTCACTACGTTGTTTCCATTATGCCACGCAATATGGTATCTTTGGGACTCGTTTTGGACCGAATGGGCTATCGAGGCACTACTAAAGGCCTCGTGTGCCAACTCTAGTGCTTGGTTTGGGTTCAACCTTGCACGAGGAGATCCTGTGGCTTAAGCTAAGCGGTTGGAAGGCGACACCGCATATGTGGGCTATCGAATGAAGGCATCAAGCTATGCAATGACTACGTCCATTGAGGGACTACATTATGCTACGAGTAAGTTACGGATTGAGACGTCGCCTTACTCATGCTACACGTTGGTGCAACGCTAAGGTACGCAATGGCCTTAGGCAGAATCTAGCACACGTGTTGACACGAGGACTACGCCGTGGGCAAGAGATTGACCCTCGGTGGCTTGTGGGCTTCGCATGACCAAGTGGCCATCCAATATGCATCTATTGAGGCATGCTTGACCCTACGACACTTCGGGATGCTTTTAAAGACCCAATATGCAATGTTGGCTTGTCGGCTAAGTTAAGGACCTTTGCTAGCACATTGTTGTGTGGCTAGGCACCTTGATGACATAAACCTAAGTTGGGCGAGCACCTTGCTTGAGGTAAGCTTGGCGCTATGAAGAGACTTATGCCGTGCTTGGTGCCCTTGAGGCGTCAGGCCTACTTGTGGCATCCGAGTGAAGACGGAGCTTCCTTGTGAAGTTGTTTTGCGTGACAAAGCATTGGGGCCTAATGTTCAAACGGGTGAGACCATCAACACTCGATTTGTCAATGAGCTATGGCGGGCTTAAACTTGGTGGAGTTTGAGCGCCACACGGGCAAAAGAGACCATAGAAGATCTAAAAAGCTAATGAGACCAAAGAAGAGCATTGACGTGTACTAAAACTTTCCTGGAAAAGAAAAGAAAAAAGAAAATGAAATGAAAAGCTTACATGATGGATTTGGAGGTCCAGAGAATGGTGTAACGATGGAACTCTTTGGTAGGAACTCCAAGTCCAATTCATCATGTGTTTTCTCGAATACATCTCCATTTGATGTCTGTTCATGTCAAAAAAGAAAAAGAAAAAAAAAAGAAAGCAAACAAGAGCATTTTTTTTTTTTTTTGAGGAATAACAAGAACAATTAATTATGCATAATGTTAATATCATTATGGGGACTAATTAATATAGTTCTAAAAAATTAAGGAAAAACAACCTTTTTTGTATGGATTTTAAATGTTATACATCAATGATTGGCTATCCATTTTTTTTACCCCATTTTTATTATCACTCAATACAAAATAATAGATTCTACCTGTATTTATTTATTCAAGTATCACTACTTTCATTAGTAAAAGTGTATTGTTATTTAGACTAAAAAATTAGACTTAATGATATGATATTCTATTAAAATATTTAAGTCAATTTTATATCTTATTTATTTTTTAATTATCGACTAATCATCTTGTTGACGCATCGCTAAGTTTAGAAAGTGAATTTACAAAGTAGATTTATATATTATTTTTCTTATATACATTTACATCACTTTGGAATGGATTTGGGTGCCTTCTGATTGTTGTGCAGCTAAATAGGTCCATTTTGGGACCCATTTCGATAATCTGAACCATTCACATTTTAGAATATATCAAGTAGAATATATCTGTAAAAAAATCAAGTTAATTGAATATCGTTTATCATTTCATCCACTCACATTTGTATTCATTTTAATATTTAAATTATAATTGTTATTTATTTTTGTAGATACAAATGTGAGTGGATGAAAGGGTTAATGATATTTGATTAACTTAATTTTTTGCAAGTATGTTCTACTTGATATATTTTAAAATGTAAACGGTTTAGATTATCAAAATAAGCTCCCAAAATATACTTATTTGACTGCACAACAGTAACTGTTGTCCCTTTAGAATGAGCAAAATAGAAATTCAAGGTTCCCTAGCATTATACGAGAGGAGTTATTGGGTGTTCTTGGTACATTGTTTCATATTAATTATGAAGGGACACTTGTCCAGTTGTCTCCAAAAGGACACCAAAAGATAGTAAATAAGTGCACTTTTTAAGTCTCATTTCAACTAATAAAACCTAAGTTGGAGCACCATATCAGCATGTACAAGGAGCAAACAATAAGTTTTTCATTATATGAAGCTTGTACAATTTATGGATTTGTAAGCAACAAAAAAATATATAAATATGAATTTTGTTAACATGTAACCTTAGAACACATAATAAGGAAGTTCAAAAGTATTATACATATTTTATTACACTTTTACGCATTGTTTTGGAAAATAGGTTAAAAGTTAATTTTTATTAACTTTTTTTAAAAAAAAAACATGTAAAAAAATAAAGAAATAATATAACTCAAAAACTCTTTGCCAAAAGAAGCCAAAATATTTTAACCTATTAACGAAACCCTATATATAAAGGATCACTTACATAAAATGCAACCACAATACCGGCAGAGTAATTGGATCGCAACTTGATTTTTGCACTGAACAGCCCATAATTGTAGTAGTCCGGTGAAATAAAACCAGACCCTAATTGAGGAACAAAAATAGTATCATGACTTTAAATATCAATGGAAAATTTTCACTTTATAGTTTTGAAAACTAATTATAAATAAGTGATAAATTTTGTATGTATTAGTAATTAAAATATAAATTTTATCATGATTCAGTAATTAGTTTTTGAAAATTTCACTAATTGATAATTTCTCTAATATCAATGGATGTTTAAAAAAAAATCAATTTGATATATCAATCAACCGTTAATATGTATTCAATTTTTGCTATTTTAATATTGATGTACTCAACATTCTCATAATACATATATCAGTCGATTCTCAATGCATGTTAATTCATAAACATTCATGAATCAATTAACAACTGATATGCCACTTTGATTACTATAATTTATATATATATATATATATGCAACTGAAATTTTGAACATATTCACGAGCCTAACACTTGAATTTCTATGCATATCATTGAATACTTTCTGTGTGTGTCAATTTCCGACCACACTGCCAATCAAGCACTCAGCTAGAGAATACTGGCAGAATAGATTAGGCCCGAACGATCTGTCACAAAAAGAAGAGATTCCGGTGGTGGTTCGTCCACCCGGGACACTCTGACGACCAAGTCAGTTATCTCTCAAAGATAGCAAAAACATTTAACTCACTATTCGGAGCATAAAAAGCATACATTAGACCCATGAGGGTGCCTCTCTTTTATAGCCAACACAAACCTAGTCCCAATAGAAACTTAACTTCAATGGACTTAGGATTATTACTAATCTTGGACTCCCAGTAGAATTGGGATAAACTCTCTAAGAGTTTTATCTTTATCCAAACTAAAGTCCTCTCCCATTCTAGGACTCTTGTCCTTTATCCGGGATAAACTCTCTAAGAGTTTTATCTTTATCCAAACTAAAGTCCTCTCCTATTCTAGGACTCTTGTCCTTTATCCGCTTATCCCAGATTCCGGTATCTTCGCAGATAACCTCGGCCTAGCCGAGATGATCTCGGCATCATGACCAGGACACGTGGCACCTCGGCTGTCACTTCGATAACACCTCGGCCACGTGTTGTCATTCAAAAATTATGTCCCCACAACTGCCCCCTAAGTTCTATTACCTCGACATCCTGAGGTGATGGAACCTATATCATTCCTTCATGTAATCATGATTCCGGTTTAACTTCAGCTTGTAAATTTTTCTTAAAATTTCAACAAGTGTTAAACACGACCTCGGTTTAAGTTCAACTTGAAAATTTAAATTTCAACAAGTGTTAAACGCATCCTCGGTTTAACTTCAACTTGTAAATTTTCAAGTCCCAAGCATCATTCTCCAGCCCTCTGCCCCCTGCGTGTCTTCCTCGACCCTTGCATACTTCTCAATTCTGGCCATGAGTTCCTCCATGCTCTTTGGCAGTGTCTTTGCCAGTGATTTTCGAAGCAGGCAGTCATCTTTCAGGCCGTTCTTAAAGGGCACGACTGCCATCTCTTGGTTGCATCCTGGTATTCGGTTAAACACCTCGTAATACCTCTTGGCATAAGCCCTAAAGCTTGCATCCTCACTGATTCTCATGGCCATAAGCGAGTCCACCCTTAATGGTTGTAGTTTGTTTGTCACAAACCTGGCCACGAACATCTCGGCCAGGCCTTCTCAGGTTTTTACAGTTCCTTTCGGCAACTTGTGAAATCATTCTGATGCAATTTCCCCAAAGAACGAGGGGAACACCTTGCAGAGCAACGGCTCGTTCCAGGTGTATAATGCCATCGAGTTCAGGTACAAGCCAACGTGAAAGTTCGGGTTCGACTTACCATTGTATATTTGGAATCTCGGCATGTGGAACCTTTTCGGGGCCTCAAATTTGTCCAACTCTACCGAGAACGGTGTCCTCGGCTTGACCGGAGAGGTCACCTCAGCATCTTGCCGCTTTCTTTGGAAGTAATCCCTCAGATCCTCCATGGTTTGTCCAGGAACTCGGTTATCTCCGGATTTCAGCCTCTTTGGTGCACTACTTCCAGTGTCATTGTAAGTCCTTTTGGACCTCCCTCCATTGGTAGTGTCAAAACAGAATTCCTTCCCCTGAACATCCCGATGTTCTTTGGTGCAGGTTTCTTTTGTTCGACGTGTCTTCTGGGATTCTCCATGCCCGACCCTTGGTCCCGCCATACTGAGGGACTGCATGAACCATTTTCTGCCCCCCTTTCTGGGCACTTTTCTTGGCCGCTGGAATTGGCATATCTTGTAACGGGAACGGTGGCTGCATGACATTGTTCTGCATTATGAAATTGACGACCGTTTGCAGGTCAGCCATTCCCTTCATCTTGTCGTCCCTCCGTAGGCATCTACCTTTCCATACCTGCAGGTCGTCCTCATTATAATACCCGATCCGGTTCGATTTCTTCGGTACGTCGCCCTCCTGGCCGACGTCCTTTCCTCCGTGATTCTTATCACAAGTCTCTTCGGTGCAGTTATCTTTTTCGACGTCAAGGTCAATGTGTTTCTCGCTTCCAGTAGGGGTGTCGTCCCTAACCTTCTCTTTCTGTCCGTCGTTGGCCATCTATTCTCCTTTCTTTCCTACAGACAGCGCCAAATTATATGTGTTAATTTCCGACCACACTGTCAATCAAGCACTCAGCTGGAGAACATTGGCAGAATAGATTAGGCCTGAACGACCTGTCACAAAAATAAGAGATTCCGGCGGCGGTTTGTCTGCCCGGGGATACTCCGACGATCAAGTCAGTTATCTCTCAAAGATAGCAAAAGTATTTAACTCACTATTCAGAGCATAAAAAGCATACCTTAGACCTATGAGGGTGCCTCTTTTTTATAGCCAACACAAACCTAGTCCTAATAGAAGCCTAGCTTCAATGGACTTAGGATTACTGCTAATTTTGGACTCCCAGTAGGATTGGCATAAACTCTCTAAGAGTCTTATCTTTATCCAAATTGAAGTCATCTCCCATTCTAGGACTCTTGTCCTTTATCCGCTTATTCCGGATTTCGGTATCTTCGCAGATAACCTCGGCCTAGCCGAGATGATCTCGGCGTCATGACCAGGACATGTGACACCTCGGCTGGCACTTCGGTGACACTTCGGTCACGTGTTGTCATTCAAAAATTATGTCTCCACACTTCCCATAATACTATTTACAATTATGATGTACATATATTTTATATGTAGAGAAGAAAAAAAATCCTAAAGTTTAAGTTTTGTAACAAAATAAATCTTAAAATTTTAATTTTGTCAAATTTAAACTCTAATTTTTTTAATTTATTTTTAATTTAAACCATCAGTTTATTTTCATTAAGTAATACTGTCAAAAATATATATATATTTAAGCCATTAAACTTCATGTAGATTTACAAAAAAATGTCTAAATTAAGTTTAGTGAGTAAAATACATTTTTTTTGACAAACTTAACAAAAATAAACAGATGCTTTAGATAAAATAAAAAAAAAATTTAAAATGTTAGTTTAGATTGACAAAATTAAAAACTCAAGTTTATTTACAAATCTCAAATTCTAATTTTCTTTTCTTCCCCCGTATGCCTTGTTTGGGAACTTAAAGTTTTAATAGAAAGTCACTTATCAAATCATTCTCTTTACTTCTATACATTTTTTTCGTAAAAACTGGGGAAAGAGGGTGGAGTGGCATACCGAACAAGCGGTTGAGGAGGAGTGAGACAGTCCGGTCATCGGAGGATCGGAGGATGTTGAAGTCGCTGAAGAGAGGGTTGTAGCCTTCACTGAATGTTATGGTTGACAGGTTGTTGAAACCTGCCGCTGCTGATGCCAAGTTGGGTATATTACACAAGAACAAGAGGAGAGAGAACAAGAGGAGAGAGAGGGAAGGAGTTATCGTTGTCCTAGAGAGAGAACAACGTAAACGATCCATTTTGTTTGTGTTTTTTTTTTTCTTTTTTTCCTCTGTTTTTGTTCTTTTTAAGGTTTCTCTCTCCTCCCATCTGTTTCTTCCATTACAAGCTTTATATAGATAACAGAATTGGAAAATGCCAAGTGAGAAACAAGGTCTCGGTGTTTGATTGGCTACTATGGTTTTTATTTTTTAATGACGAAGAAACCCTTTTGATTGGCTACTATGTAATTTGTCACATCCATAGCCTTCCATTTTCATTGGTTTTTGTTCATATTTATTTACAGTTATTGAATTATGTAAAAAATATCGAGGTCCAAAACCTAATATAAATGACAGATTTTGAATAATTTGAAACAAGGGAAAGATAATATTTAAGGTTTGGCTTTTTTCAGTCTCAGATGTTGTGTGGATTTGTGAATTTATGAGATATATTATAAGTCTCAACAACTGCAAAAGTAAAGATTCTTGACTCTTCATGAGTAAATTCTTCATCACAGTGGAACCAAATTGCTCATGTGATCATATCTAAAACATTATATCTTCAGATTTTGAACGATTTCAAATCTGACTTCAACCCTCTATATAAGTAGCAACTCAAAATGAATAAAGTATTGTAGACACCCCATTTTTGACCATCCTCAAGACTTGGACGTCATCGTTTGAACACTCGATGATCATCCTTGTTCGTGTTCGTCTTGAGTTCCCGGAGGTCTCGGCTACGCGCCCTGCCTCAGGATCTCTCGACTCGACTATTTTGTGTCTGGTTTTGCACCAAACACTTGTTGTTTTGCTTCTGAGGGTGGGAAGTAGCTTGTAGGCCATCCCCACACCTCACCGGCCATGGCTTGAGGCCACCGACCTTGTTTCCTTGCCACTGGCCATTGGTGATGGCCGATCGGCACTATTGATGGTCGGTCGGCATTGTGTTTGGCCGGCCGGCCACTGTTTTGATCAATCGGCCACTTGTCCTGACCGAGACCTTTTCTTGAGGGAGCTTGACCCTTTTGAACCTTTTTTTAGCTTCTCCAAGAAGCTTGACCCTTTTTTTTAGCTTCTCCAAGAAGCTTGACCTTTTTTTTTTTAGCTTATCCAAGAAGCTTGAACCTCTTGACCCCTTTGCCTAGCTTCTCCAAGAAGCTTGGCCCTTTTGTTTAGCTTCTCCAAGAAGCTTGGCCTTCTTAGCCCTTTTGCTCCAAGCTTCTAAGAGAAGCTTGGCCTTTTTGGTCAAAGCTTCTAAGAGAAGCTTTGCCCCCTTGGTTTCTCTATATAAGGAGAGCCTCTCCTTCCATTTTAGGGGTTAGAAGAATCTGATATATATGACATATATATCACTCCCTCTCTATATCTCCCTCTCTCTCTACATTTGGGTGGGTTAGGGGGTCCAAAAGAGTCTAGTTTTTGGCCATTTGAACTACAACTCATAGCCACACACCTCCATCATCACTTGGAGGTTCTTGGAGCTTGTTTTCAGAGGTTGAGGACTGGTTTTTGAGACCTAAAGGCTGCTGGTTCTTGCTGGTCTTCAAAGGTAACTTCTTACCCTCTTTATTCCCCGTTTTTGCACACCCTTTTAGCCTGTCTTGCTTTCGGATTTGGGCTTTGTGTATAGCATAAAAAAGTTCTGTTTTTTTGTGTTTGAGATACTTCATTAAGACCACTTTTGTGTTTGGGGTCGTTTACCCCCTCTTAGGCCTTATTTGGCCCCATTTTGTGCTATTTTTGGTGAGTTTCGGGACCACCTTGTTTGGGCCTCCTCACCACTGAAATCTTGAGGGATTTTAGTGGTGAGGATGGTGGTTTAAGGTCTTAAAAAGGAGAGGGCCATCCCCTCTCCTTGTTGTCTTCAAAAAGTGTCATTTTAGCCTCATGTGTGAGCACCTTTTTTAAGTTCATGTTGGCCATGTCTTAAGTGTTATTTGTGCCTATTTTTCCATGATATAGCACTATTTTTACTTGGTTTAGACACGCCACGCTTGCCTTGCATACTTGTCTTGTAATGCCATGAAATTGCCTTAACATGTATCTAGCATTTAGACCACTATGCTTACTTGTTTTGGCTTAGCTTTGTGAAGCTTTTATGCATGTTTTAGTGTGCTTGAGGTCTGTTTTGGGTCATTCGGGTCATCCATGCTTTGCTTTGTATAGCTACCATGTAACCCCCCTTGGCTTGCCTTGAGTTTTAGACCATTGTTGCATGCTTGGCTTGTCTTGTTTACTTGGTTTTGCACCTTCTATAACATGATTTCAGAGCTTTCTATGCATGCCATGTATCCATGTTTATCATCTTTTAAGTGTGCTTAAAAGTTGCTCTTTGGTGCCTAAGTGTTGGACCTTGTGTGCATGCATGCTTGTATGTGTTTTGGCCCTCATTTCCATGGCATTTGGCCACTGTTTTAGGTCTAGTATAGGGCTGCCCAAATTAGCTTAAGTCCACTCTTTACATGTTGTTACATGTCTTACACTTTGCATGCTTCGATTGCATCATGTCTTGCATGACCACTAGCTTGCATGCTTGTTCATTGTTTGCTTGTTTGCATTGCCATGTTGCATACTAGCTCACATGCCTAGGATGCATTGCATTGGCATGCATGCTTGGCCTCTTGACTTGAGTATGATAGAGGTTGAGTCCCATTGGTTTGCTTATGTGCATTGCATTCCATATCAAAAATGCACACTTGATTCTTTGGGCCATCACGCATTGAAATGCGCGATTGATGGTCCGAGAACCAAGGAGCGTATCCCTTTGAGTCACTAACATGATAAGGGATAGGATTGGTGCACACATTGCTTGAATTGCATTGTCATGCTGTGCCTTGCCTTCTGTTACTGTCAATTGCAGATTCTGCAGGAACTTTCTGCCGACCAGCAGTTTCCAGTGCCAATCGGCAATCCTTCCTGGGCCGATAGCTTCACCAACGGCCAGTGATCACACACCACTGCCGGTGGCCATTCTACTCAGCCGGTGGTGTCTCCTTATGTCCAGGGAAGAAATTCTGAGACTTTGGCAGTCTTCAAAGAGGCAGAGCAGGGAAAACAGAGGCAGTCTATGCATGGCAGTGCACTTCCGAGCAAGACTCGAGCATCCGCGCATCGAACCCTCTTCCCGAGGCCCCTGTTATTGCTTTTCTTATGCTTAGTTAATTTGTTAATTAATTAGATGATTTGTAATAATTAATTAGCTTGTAGGTTAATTATCTGTAATATTTATTTGGTCCCTCCGAGCGAGGGCGAATCTGTAATGAGTGTGGGTGAGTGTGTGCATGTCTTCCAACCCCCACTTTTTTCTCCATTTTACTTACCTGCTTATGATGGTTAGTAATAGGTCATGTTTAATTTAGCATACCTTATGCTATGCATGCGTGCATCATTCATCAGTATTGCATGCACCGGGCTCGGTACATCATGCTAACTGCATTTGTACTTCAATTCCAAATTGAATACGTGCATCAATTGGTTGCATTTCACATGCCATGTTTAGGTTAGCCGAGCCTACTCTAAATTGCACCATGTATGTGTTGCATTAGTCAAATTGACATGAACTAGGACCATGCACATTTGCTAACAAGTTTATTGTTTTGGCATGGAGTACTATGTAAGTATTTTAATGCTTTAGCATATCGCATGCGTGTGAATGCTACCATGACAGTATGCTTACCATGTGGCTAGATGCTTGTGTGTTAAACTGTTTGAATGCCTGTGGGTGAAGGTTGGCTTGTCTGAGTTGGAAAAACTCGTTGAAATCCGTATTCTAGCCTACTTGCGAGTAGCAAATTCCAAAATGTTTTTTCAAAACAAACGGATATGCAATGCTTATTTCCAAATTAGGCAATCTAGTCTATACTTGTTTGTTGTGCGCATAACATAGTAATTCTAGGCTAATAACTTGAATAAGAACACATAACGTTTTCAAAAACGGATATCACGGTTAGTAGAGGCCGATCTTCGGATCGGGCGACAGGGGGTGCTCATAGCTGACCTTCCCCAATCGTACCCTAGCTCCCGAGCCGAGACAACTCCAGTGATGACGGACATGTGGCCTTCGGCACCGAGTCAGGGTTTCCTAAATTCCCCCATAAAAAATATTTAGGTGGCGACTCTGTATCTGGCAAAGCAGTCCATGTTTGGCACTTCTTTTTCAAAAATCTGTTTCTCAAAACGATTTGCCGGATTTGGACTCTTTGGTTCAGATTAAGAACCGTAAACAAAATCGAGTCCGAATTGTAATAGCTGGGTCCCTCGCGGACGCGTCTACAAGTATCAAGAAAATTTTAAATAAATATATATTTCTTTTGTGAGTTTTGAGTGTAGAGTGTCTGTACATACTTTGTTTAATATCTATAAGTATTTTAAGTATAATATGTGTTTAAGTTTATATTATCTCTTATGCATGTTCTCAATAAATTTTATCATTTATATCGATTAAGATATTACCAAAAATTATTAAAAGAATTAGAAGTATGTTTTATTTAATTTCGTTTCATGCCCTTAGAATATTGGGATGAAGAAATAGAAAATCCTCAATCAAATATGAGTAGGTTTTGCATAATGTGAATATATAGCTCTTCCCTTTGCTCGATTTGTTTTCACTATTGAATAGTTTCCCAGCTTCTTTTCACACTTGACTTGGTCTAATGATAAGATCTACAATTAACATCATCCCATAGTTTCCCAGCTTCTTTTCATACTTGACTTGGCCCAATGGCAAGACTTACAATTAGTGTCATCCCCAGTGACACAAGTTCAAGTCACGAAAATGTCTCCCCAAACCCCGTTTTAACAAAAATCTCGTGCATTGAGTCATGCTACTTATTTAAAGTGTGCCACGAGTGGCTTAACTATCACTTGATGCTGATCAATATCAAGTATATGCTAAAAATTCTCCATAGAAGATCTGAAGGGAAAAACTGGAAGGTATTTACATTCAACGATATGCTCAATTGGCAGTTTTTTTTTTTCATTTGGCAGTTTTTTTTTTTTTTTTTTTTTTTTTAAACGAGCGTTACAGTTCACAAAGCTGAAACATGAAATATCACACACAAACACTTCGTCGTTTAGCTTTTAAGAAAGTGGTATTTGGATTCAACATAGCCTTCAGCATCCCATAAAAATGATCCAAATGCAACTGCCTCCAACACTAGCATTGTCAATCCTGAGAATGTAATAGCAACAACTTCATCGCTTGATGCATCGAGCGAACCATCCTTGGCAATCCTAATATCAGGCCTTCCAAACAGTGCCTGCGTTTGCTTCTCAATCAAAGAAATAGCTTCCTTGGATCTTATGGTTGCATATCTCTGAAGTGTCTCTGCATCTAAATACATCACATAGGATCTCAATCTATATGACTTACCCTCGCTGGAATCGGTTATGCCGCCTCCGTCACCGTCATCAGGTGGAATACGTATCAGTGAATCCGGATCCCAAAGCGGGTTTACTGGTACCGCATCTTCAAACTTTATCTGCTCTAAATCAAAGCCTTTGGGAAGGGTGTTCATGGATCTCTCAAGTTGGAACCTCTGATCAACCCGTTTCAGGAAATAACCATACATGATAGAAGCAGCATATAATTTTCCAAGTTTAATTTTGCTGATCTGAACGATCATATCTAGGGGTCCCACAACCCGTTCTCCGAGAACAAGAGATAAGTGGCTCTGTATCATCTCAAATGCTTCTGGGGAGTGCACAGACTCCAGTTTCTGTTCTTGATTTGGCCAAAAATCTACCCGGCCAGTCGGATCTGAGGTTTCTGATATCTTTGGGATCATTGAAACATTGTTGTCGACAAATTTCTGTACAATCAAACAGTACATTATCTCCTCCAATGTCCTCTGTCTTTCCTTCTCTTTCACTTCAGCTATTCTCCTGAAATCATGTTTCTTGGTTATATTAATCACTTCCATATTACCAGCATTGGATCAATTAACCATGGCAGAAAAGAGAAGATTTGGTTTTATGAAATCTTACAAGACAGAAAAATGATTTTTTTAACTTTCTAGATGCAATAAAAAAAAAATGAGAAGATTGACAAGCACAGTAAGTCTTGTCAATGGAATGAGTGATGCACCCAACATATGCATATACGTCCACAGAATGTGGTACAATCAACCTGATTCATTTCTTTTTTTCAGCACTAACTACTGCCTCAATCAGTGACATTCCAAAATTTTTGCTTCCGAATGAGTGTTCTTTCAACTTACTATAACTGAGTTTATCTAAAATTTGGATCCAATTCATTTGAATTTACCCTGTAAGCCATGTCAACACCATAGTCTGGGGCTCTCCAAGTTCAGTTCAACAACTATACTAGACATTATCTATACCTGATAAAATTATATAGAAAAAATTGCTGATAATTTTAACCATTCAATTCAATCAAATCTTTCAACATTTTGCAACAAAATAGAAATGGACCTGGTGTAGGGGTAGGATTCTTAAGAACCATCAATCTAGACAAACTATTGGGTGAAAAAAAAGAAGAATCATAGATCCGCACAGATTTTTGAGTCCCAATCTTTGCACTAGTGCTAAAGAGTTGAGACTTGAGACTTCAGACATGAATTAAAAATTAGAAATATCTGGGAAACTTCTACATCCATTGGTTAGTTAGCAGGTTACCAGTTAGCAGAATATGACAAAGTAACACTACAAACCAGAATATTTACCCAGAATTATCAATCTATGGTCCAAATTTTTCTATATATGACCCCACACAACAAAATTTCAATCGCCACCGCACAATCCTCATTTGGGTAAACATCTTTCACACCATTTCTGGGAAAGTATGTAAAAAATAAATGCATTATTGATTGATTGATTACAAGATTGATTTATTACAATTCCTATACAATCTATATATAGAAGAAAATGTGGTAGTAGGTGTAGTGGAGGTGATAGTGGGTTAGGTGAAGTGGAGTGTGTGGTGAAGTGGAGGTAGGTGAAGTGGAGTGTGTAGTGGAGTAGGTGAAGGTAAAGATGGGAAATTCTAACAAAGTAGGATTTCTTACTCTCGACTAATGTCAAAAAGCAGCATAAAGAGTTTTTGTTCTAAAAAAGGGCATACCTTATGTACAGAAAACATTGCACAACATTTGACGTGTCTTTATATTGTGCCATATTCCACGGACAAAATTTTTTAAGTGATGCTACAATGATGCTCAAAATAAAATCACAAATCCAGAAACCCACTCAGGTTAAGAAATCATTCTCAATTCTATTTGATGTCTCTTAAGTCTATTCAACGGGGATGGTGACCCTCTAAAACATGTTTGTTGTGCATATATTGTTTGCAGGAAATAAAGTATTAGACATATCACGTTAAGAAGCATGCCCAAATCAAGTCTAAGTCCCAAACATAACCAACACAACTTAACCACAAAGATCCATATAAAGTTTATGGAAAGAAAATAAAGGGGGGGCTTAATTTCAACTTCATACATATATACATACATAAGATCAACTTCACAAAGAGAAAATGTGACTACAGAATGAAATGTTTGGAATTTTATGTACTTGTATAAGCAAAATGATATCATATAACTGAATATAATGATGTCTCAATTCAGATTATATTGGTGATTTCATCAGAGTTAAAGCACGATTGTTTTGCCCAATGTTTTCAACAAAGCTCAATTCCTTTTTCAGGCCAAGCTTACCCCATTTACAGAATGGGATTGGACTGGCGTTTATCAGGAGTTTGCTAGCTGAAACATGGACGAGCGAATAAAAAAGTATAAATTATATAAATCAATATCATGCATCTCCAAGAGAAGCCACCTAGCTTAGCTCACAAGATCCCTAGATAGTTGCACCAGAGACCCAAGCCCCAAATAATGCCTTTCTTAGAGTTGGGTATTTAAGGGCATTATGAGGCTAACTCTCATATTTTCCCCAAAAACAGAAATCGTGTCACAGAAAATGCTTACATCAGCTCCACCAATTCTTAAATCGGCTCTCTATCAATTTGAGAATATTTTGAGCATTTTCCTCAGCGTATAGCTCCAAAATTGTACAATCTACAATCTATAATAAACATCCCATCTAAATTGGCCTAGCACCCTAAGTAGGAAGTCATAAACCGGCAAACATTTATGCTGAATGCAATTGCATTAGCCTACAATAATTGGTTCTACCAATGCAATTCAAACATGTTAGTCTGGCATCAGTTCTGATTTCTAATCTCCAGTGTAATATACAAAAGTTTGCACACTATAACTAAGAAAAAAAAAATTTGAAAAAAAGAATGGTTCTGGGGCCATTAAACAGGAGGGAAATCTTCTATCCGCTTGTGTAAGGAGATCAAACAACTTACTTGTACAGAAGGAGATCTTGTGATGAAGCCTGAGTTTCTTCTCCCTGGGCATCTCTTTCGGCTTGAAGGTTCTCAAGCTGCTGATCGATGGCTGCGGGGAGCAGATGTGGATGCGTTTGCAATATTTGCGCTAACAGTTGGCCAACTGGGGAATCAAATTGAAGAGGAGCAACTGGTGCCAAATCACCACCTAAACTTCCTGATGCTCTCACTATTAAGCTTCTCACTTGGGACTTATCCAATCCAATTCCTAGCTTAGGAGTGGAATGTGAAGGACAGCTCTACAAAATACAAGTGGAAGTGAGAACACGGGAAGGAGCCATCTAAAAAGTTGAATTAAAAAGTATTAAACGCTGAACTTTTTCCGTTGTTTCTAAGCCTCAAACAAAACAAGAAGTCCAGAATAGGACATGCGGCAAAGAAGTGTAGGAATCTCTGCATGATGGCCCAGTTATAGTGATTTTCTAAATCAAATTCAGTAGGATAGTACAGAAATATGCAACCTAGCTTGCAAGGCTTAGTTATCAAGAAAACTCTGAGAAAAAATGAAGTTTATTCTTCTCAAAATTTTCAAGAACTTCTAATAGGATCAATTAAGAAGAGGATCCCTTTTTCCACGACACAATTAATGGACTGAAAAGTAGGTTCTGTCTCTTCCTATATTTTCTCAATAGAAAATAAGTCTTCTGTAATACAATTCAGCTGTGAATAGCTGAAAATGCAAGAAGATAAATTTACTTACCACTCATTGAGCTTCAACCCTTTTTACTAGATTAATAGCTGTACAGTCTACATAATTTACTTACAAAATTCAATACGCTTATCTAGATTGAGTACCAATATTTAACAATAGCAGAACTTTAATTGAATAAAAAATAATCCACCTTCAAGCCACGTGGTGGATCAATACGTTTGTCCCTAAATTAACAACCTTGTCTTATTAAAGAAATAAAACACCACCAACTATAATAAATAACCCAAATCTAGATCACGCAAACATTCTTCAGCAAGCTAAACTACAATACAAAGTACCTTGCAGATCAAACTTATTAAAATTAAAATTAACAATTAATTAAAAGTTCTAAAACAATAATTTTAATGAAAGCTCCATTCTTAAGTGAAAAGAGAAATTGCAAGCCATCAATAAGGTTCAAAATTAGATTAGAAAGTACAATACAGTATAAAACTCGGATGATATGATAACTCAGTAAAACACCATGAACTTGCATTTGGTAGCTCAAAAAGTTTATGGAAAGAAAATAAAAGAATACCTTGTGTGTATTTCTAGGAAAAATTAGCAATCCCTATTATACTAGTGCAATGCCACGAATGCAAAAATAGTTCAATTTTTGGCTCAGTTTTATCACTATTATTCACTTCCATCTCTTCTAAAACAATTCGCGACTTACAAATTGTTAAATTCGACCTAGATCCAAGCACACGCCTCACTCAAATCATTAACCAAAAAATGACTAAGAATTGAATGGTTTCAAGGTACGAGACTTACTGTTATTGAGTTCTGTCAATGTCATTCACATTTTTGAGCTTTAGATTCCTCATTTGTAACTTGTAAGCTAAATCAACTTACCTAAAGGTTAATAATTAAAGAGTCCTCGTAAAGATTTGAGTTTTCCATTTCTTTAGATCATCAAACAGCTCTGACAAATTTCAATTCGTTTCATTACAATAAAAATTCTCTAATTAAAAGTTATTTTATTGCATTTACTGTTTCTATGGGCCAGATAACATCTCAAATCGAAAGTTACACGACCTTTTGCCTTTCGTTTCCGTTCTCACAGTTTCTCAGCAACCAACCAGAGTTTCACAGAAATGCTCCTGAGTATACAAACAGATTAAGAGATATTGTGATTGAAAAGCTTACTCTGATGAATCCAGAATGAAGAAGGAACTTTGAATCGGAGAGTGCGTGCGAATGCCTCAATTCCGGCGACTTGAAGCCGGCGGCGGACGGCAGAGCCACCAATACGTCGGTGATTACCCCGGAAATTCCCATGTCTCGTGCTTGAATGTTTCAGTGGTTGTTAGGGTTTTGAAAAGCCAATTCCACAGAGAGAGAGAGAGAGAGAGAGAGAGAGGAGGGTGGAGTCCAGTGGTTGAAGAGCAGAAACAGATGGGAATGATTTTCTCTCGATTTCTGATTTTATTTTTGTAATTATTTTATTTTTAAAATTTAAGACCCTGTTTGGTGGAGTTTTGTAAAATTAATTTTACTTATACATTCTAATGTTATATTTGGTTTGGGTTTTCAAATTATATTTCAAATCAATTTTAAAATATATTTTGAAAATATGTTTCGTAAAGCAGACAATTTTTAAATTTTTAATCTATCAGGTCGTCTACCTGGACATCTGGAGGATGTTCAACCGGTCGTTCGGCTAGTTGACCGGAACAGTATAACTTTTTTTTCTTTTGGCAATTGCCAATTGCCACCTTTTACTTGGAAAAAAAAAATTATATTTTTTTTGATATTTTTTAAATATGGAAGTTATTTTTTTAGACTAAAATGATAAATTATTTTTTTGAATTGAATTTTAAAAAGAGTTTGATTATGAGTTTTAAATAGAATTTTTAATAGAGTTTTGAGTTGTGCATTTGGTTATGAGTTATAAGTTTTTTAATTAACTTTTGAAAATTCTTTTCAAAACTTATAATCAAACAACTTTTCTCATTTCATATATCACACCAAAAATTTAAAATTTAATTCAATTTTTTTTTTTAAATTCATAACCAAACAAATTTTTTTTTTCAAATCATATTTTTAAAACTTACAAACTCAAAATATAACTCTATTCTCAAATTATAATTCTAAAGTTCTACCAAGCCCTACTTAAATTTTTTTATTATAAAAAAACGAGTTTTGTTTAATCATTGAGACTCAAATGTATTGTTCGCTTTGTTTGGAACAACTTTGGAATTGTGATTCTAATTCTTAGTTTGCATATGTTGTTTGGTTGTGGCTTTTAAAAATTAATTTCATACTTACTTTTGAAAACTCGGTCAAAGGTGAAAAAATTTAAGCTAACATGTTGTCCCATCAGTTGACTGAAATAGTGTAACTTTTTTTTTTTTTTTTGCAATTAACAGATGTTAATTTTTATATATTCAACAAAAAATAATTTTCGAATTTTAAAAAAAAAATTATGAGCTTTAATAGAATTTTGAGTTGTGTGTTTGGTTATGAGTTGTAAGTTTTTATATCAAATATCATATGTCACATCAAAAATTTCTCACTCAATTCAAAACTCTTTTCAATACTCATTCACCAAACAAATTTTCCACACTCAAATCATAATTCCAAAACTCACAAACTTAAAATACAACTCCATTCTCAAATCTAATTTAGAAAATTCTACCAAACGCAATCTTAATTTTTTTTATACTATTGCCCTACAAACAGCCACTTTCATAAAATATTTTATTCTACGTACATATAACAATTTTAAATCTGTCAACTGGCGTCCATGGTCAACTATTAATAAAAGGGAAATTAGTCTAAGATCCTTCTCTCATATTTAGTAATGTAAGAGATCCACAATATTATTTTATTATGTCTAAGGTCCTTAACCCTCACACTCATATATACACAGAGAAATTTCCAAATCAATTTCACCTTTCTCTCTCTCCCCGATCTCATCACTTCACCTCCACCGCAGCTACCGCCTCCTCCACTGTTTCTGCCACCACTGCCAGTGCCTCTCCCTTCAGATCAACTTGGTATATTTTTGTGGGTTATGAGGCAGATACAAATCAAACAGAATTTTTCAATCAGTTTGGTATATTTCCATAGATATAATTCAGAGTGTTTCTACATGTGTTCGAGAAAGAGAGAGAGTGATTGATTATTTGCAGCTGAGTTGTTTAAACCAAAATAGGGAAAACACCAAGCAAATCAGAAATGGTAGTTTTAGGTCAAAGATATTAGTATTAGGGTTCTGCAGCAAAGCTGTTTAAACCAATACAAGTAAGTTTATTCGGATGGGTATGGTAGAAAGAAAAACAAAATGTAGTTAGGATTTGAGAAATTAGTAGACAGACACTTGCCTTGATCATAGTCTGCATTTCATTGTATGCTTCTTGTATGCTCCGGTACAATTGACCCAGGTTTGAATTTTTACTCATACTTCTTTTTACTGTTGATACAAGTTTATTTCGTAGAAGTTGTTTCAAGGAGGAAGACAAAAGAAATATTTTTCTCTTCAGATATTAATACAGAAAAACAAGAATAGAAACACAGGTACTGATGTGACAAAATGAAGAGACACTCTAAACAGCAAGGGAATTCTTAAAACAGACTACAAAAAAGGAAGTAAGATGCCATTGAATTAGAAAAGGTAGAGATACATAATGCAAAGAAACTCCTACACATTGAAATTTGATATGGTTTATACAGAAAAAGATTCTGCTAAAACAACAGCCATGTAAAATAAATATTACCTGATGTTTCAGAGTGGCCAAACTTTTCGTATGCATTGGAGATTGGGGAATAACTCCGTTGGTAGGAGGAATACCAATAAGACCACATAATATGACCTGGTAAGGGGAAAAAAAAAAAATCAAAGAGTGAAGGCAAAATCTGCACTTAGGCCTCGTTTGGCAAGAGGCTATTTTAGCCAATTAGTCAAAAAGTTACTAAATTAGCCAAAAAGCCAACAACCCATATCAAAAAGTCAAAGATTCTCTTTTCTCTCTACTTTTTGCACATCTTTTCGTAATTAGCCAAAAAGTCATCCCAAACATACAGGCCTTGTTTGGTTTGTGTTTCTCAAAAAATTTTGAGAAAAATTCTCTACAAATAAGTTTTCAAAAATAATCATTCCACAGAGAGAGAGAGAGAGAGAGAGAGAGAGAGAGAGAGGAGGGTGGAGTCCAGTGGTTGAAGAGCAGAAACAGATGGGGATGATTTTCACTCGATTTCTGATTTTATTTTTGTAATTATTTTATTTTTAAAATTTAAGACTCTGTTTAGTGGAGTTTTATAAAATTAATTTTACTTATACATTCTAATATTATATTTGGTTTGGGTTTTCAAATTATAATTTCAAATCAATTTCAAAATATATTTTAAAAATATGTTACGTAAAGCAGACAATTTTTAAATTTTTAGTCTACCAGGTCGTCTATCTGGATATCTGGAGGATGTCCAGCCGATCGTTCGGCTAGTTAACCGGAACAGTATAACTTTTTTTTCTTTTGGCAATTGCCAATCGCCATCTTTTATTTGGAAAAAAAAATTATATTTGTTTTTGATATTTTTTAAATATAGAAATTATTTTTTAGACTAAAATGATAAATTATTTTTTTGAATTGAATTTTAAAAAAAGTTTGATTATTAGTTTTAAATAGAATTTTTAATAGAGTTTTGAGTTGTGTATTTGGTTATGAGTTATAAGTTTTTCAATTAACTTTTGAAAACTCTTTTCAAAATTTATAATCAAACAACTTTTCTTATTTCATATATCACATCAAAAATTTAAAATTTAATTCAAAATTTTTTTTAAAATTCATAACCAAACAAATTTTTTCTTTTCAAAACTTACAAATTCAAAATATAACTCTATTCTTAAATTATAATTCTAAAGCTCTACCAACCCCTACTTAAATTTTTTTATTATAAAAAAATGAGTTTTGTTTAATCATTGAGACTCAAATGTATTGTTGGCTCTATTTGGAACAACTTTGGAATTGTGATTCTAATTCTTAGTTTGCATATGTTATTTGGTTGTGGCTTTTAAAAATTAATTTTATATTTACTTTTGAAAACTCGGTCAAAGGCGGAAAAATTTAAGCTAACATGTTGTCCCACCGGTTGACCGAAATAGTGCAACTTTTTTCTTTTTTTTTTTTTTTTTTTTTAATTTATTTATTTATATTTTTTTGCAATTGACACATGCTAATTTTTATATATTCAACAAAAAATAATTTCCGAATTTAAAAAAAAAATTATGAGCGTTAATAGAATTTTGAGTTATGTGTTTGGTTATGAATTGTAAGTTTTTGTATCAAATATCATATGTCACATCAAAAATTTCTCACTCAATTCAAAACTCTTTTCAATACTCATTCACCAAACAAATTTTCCACACTCAAATCATAATTCCAAAACTCACAAACTCAAAATACAACTCCATTCTCAAATCTAATTTAGAAAATTCTACCAAACGCAATCTTAATTTTTTTTTTGGTACTATTACCCTACAAACAGCCACTTTCATAAAATATTTTATTCTACGTACATATAACAATTTTAAATCTGTCAACTGGCGTCTAAGGTCAACTATTAATAAAACCCGTATTAAGTGGTATTTTGAAAGTTGGTAAAAAGTTAAATTTTTAATTTTTTTAGTCTATTTTGGAGTAAAAAATGAGAGAAGTGATGCGATTCAAAATGAATAAAAAGCTAAAAGTTAGCTTCTTTTTTTTTCCTCCCAAAAGACCCCTAAATAATTTACACGAAAATTGAACAATATTTCTACACAAATAATTCATCTGGAATAATATGAGTATTTTTATAATTATGAGTCATACTTATAAATATTGTGGTTTGAAATAAAAAGATCATTAAAAAAATTACATTATTTATGTTAAAAAATTTATTTGTATAAAATTACTTTAATGTATAGTTATTTAGAAAAGAAAAATGCTAAGCCACCACAATTGTTTATAAAAAGCTTGCAATTGACTATGAAGCTGGGACTATGTTTTTAAATTTATATTAAAAAATTAAAACAAAAACTCAGAAAGTTCTACAACCTTTTTCTTTTTGGATTTGTATGAGCAGTCCCTTATGGCCCAGCAACCTACGATTCTTATGTTGAATGTACACAATTGATTAAAATAGTGATAAAAAACAATTATTTCTTTAACAACGGTCATCATGGCTGAAGATTTTTAAATTGTATCGTCTTCCCCCTAGCCTCAAGAACAACCGAAGCAGTCTAAACAATTGTTGGTCGAAACTGTTCCACCTCAAGCTGGGGTAAAGCACTGTTTCACTGCAGATCGCTCTCAAACTCTGAATACTAGATATCACTTCAAAATAACAGAAATCAAGGTCGGCCATTGAGACAATGGGAGAATAAGGGAAACAACCCGGATGACGAACTGAGGCCCTTAAATGATCACTCAGTGACAAAGGAGGTAGCACGCGTGCTGTGACAGAGAAGATTTGCCCAGAAACAAACATTATTGAATGAGTGCGTAAAACTACTACTGAACATCAAGGATCAGAAGATTTCAGAGAGGAGACTTTCCTGTCTGACTTGGTTCATGACGATTTAGGAAAATTTGTAAATATTTAAACGTGCAGAACTAATTTACCACTCCACCTACAAAGAAGTCGTTGCTGTTAAACGAAGCATTGAAAAGTTCCACTAGCAAATACACACTTTCAGCAATCGCGAAAGAAGGCGAGAGAGATCTGCCCAATTTACTCAGAAAATGAAGTAATTGCTGAAGAATATAGAACTGATCACTGAAATCATGCCATAGCATTTACTTGAAATAGGTTAGTAAATGTTTAGGCACCAGCAGATCACATGCGTTCAATATGCCACTTGTGCGGCTGGACACTCCACCTCAGTGCATCAACTCTGGAGTCAGGACAGTGATGTCATAGCGCTAATCCAAGTTCAACATGAAGCAAGTATTCTGCGAATGATCGGCTCTCATTGGTAATTTAAACACATTATTATTGCATGCACATGAATAAATCCATCCACCAACTCATATGCTCAGCACAACAAATTCATAATCCTCATACACCAGAACATGAAATTCATACAAAATACAGCATATTCAAGATTATTAATTCTCAGTGTAGCACATTCATCAAACCCTATTTAATACATATTACCAAGGCAAATCACTGATCATCCTACACTCATTTAACATATAATTAAGAGTGTGACACAGATTTCAGGCTCTACATGCCATCTGGGTTCTTCGACCTTAAAGCTTGGTCGAACCCAGAATGACGGATAATATTACATAAAACAGATCCTGAGACTAAAAACATCAGGTTTTAACGAATTTTGACCTACATTTACTATGTAAAATAAGGACAACATGTTACTAATTGGTTAGCGTAATCCCCTCCTTAGATATCACTGCCCAGTCGATTGTGAATCATTGCCAGCTTGCTGGTCATTCCTGCCAGACCGAGCATCTTCTTGCCCAGGAACTTCCCCAAGTCTCTCCTGCAGCAAAAATCAGAACTGTGATATTAGCATTTCAGAAGTAATTTCCTTTTTCTTCTTCTTTTTCCTTTAAATGTGGTAGAAGTAGAAATAAAGATGTGCTTGATTTATTTCCACAAAAGAATAATTACTTTTCGGTTTTTGGTAGTAAAGCAAACTAATGCTTTCGGCAGAACTAATAAAACTAATAAATGGGAAGCAGAGATTATGCTTTCTTCTCGCATCACCCTCACAGGATTGCTGTAATTGACACTAGAGTCATCACTTTCACAACTTACAACATTCAATGTCCATAAAATGCACGGACACCTCTGAGAATGTGTATGTGTGCAGGTCCAACACCGACACTTATTGAACACTTCCCAGCATGTGTTTGACACACATGAAACACATTATACCTCTGAACAAAATAACTAAAAGAATACAAAACATAAAATAATAATAACAACAATATAGAGTTATATCTATTAGTCCCTCTTCCTTTAAACTTTAGGAATTAGTATTATTATGTTATATTTTTTATTATATTTTAATGAAATATTAATATACATTATATATGACTTATAATAAAGATATAAAATCATATATTTTGTGTGTCCACCACATGCTGTGTCATGCGCTTTTTGAAAATTGACATGCCAGCATGTCTGTGTTGTGTCCATGTTGTGTCATGCGTCACTTGTCCGCGTCCGTGCTTCTTAGATAAAATGCTTTTCTTATTACAGCTAAACACTATTCACAAAACTATTTGACAAACACAATATTGATTTTTGCTGCAGCAAATGCAATTTTCCATCAAAATGTTCTTCCGGGAAGCACAAACCAAATTATGCATAGCATTTGTAGGTTCAATGGAAACAGAGGAGGCAATTCAACCACATGATAACAAAATGATTCCACAGAGCTGATAATGTAAACTACATTTTTCAACAATATTACCAAACACTACTTTGTCTAGCATTTACATGATCCTCTTTACAATTCCAATAAATGATTCAATCCTTGAGGGCATGAAAAAGGACCATGCATAAACTGAAATATCAACATCACCTTCAGAGAAGCATTCTGTGCAAGAAGCTGTTCATACTCGCTCCTGATGCGACTCATTTCTGATCTAAGAGTGGCATTTTCTTCTTTCAAAACTTCAGCACGCTGGGCCAGCTCGTCACATTCTGCCTGACTCGGGAACATAAACACAATAGAATCATCGTGTCACGTGATGAAAATTGCAAACAGAATATACAAAGTAAAAGGAATACACCATTACCTGCTTTCGCAACCTGGATCGACGAGCAGATTCCCTGTTAGACTGCTTCCTTTTCTGTCTTTTAAGCTCTCTTTCATCCTGAACTCAAGGACAAGAGGTGTAAAACCAAGATTTTAGTAACAATAGGGATCTAGCAATGAGAAAGAGACAAATAACAATGCAAGTAGTGGATAAGTATTGATGGACAAGCAAATGGTTGTATATACCCAAAACTCACCTGATGGTCAACACTGACTTTCATAACCAAAGAACAAAATACAACAGTGCCCATATAAATATATCACATACTGATAACTTGAGTCATTGAGACAATGTGAATCGTGAACACACCTAATCTTATTGGTGTAATACTCAAATCAGTCTGTGTGGTTAAGGGCTTTAATTTAAATTCTTCTCAGATGCTTATTGCATAATTTTAATGGACGATAGTGATACTAAGGCCTCATTTGGGAACCTTCCCTTTTAGCCAAAAAATCAAAAAGTTATTAAATTAGCCAAAAAGTCAACAACCCATACCAAAAAGACACAGATTCTCTTTTCTTTCTACTTTTTGCACATCTTTTTGTAAAAAGCCAAAAAGTCATCCCAAACATACTAGTTTTTTTTAGCTCATATTTTAGCCAAATAGCCAAAAAGTTACTAAATTAACCTGTTCCCAAACGAGGCCTAAGCAAAGTGAGATCCCAACAAATTAAGGAAAATTATCAATAGAGTTTTTAACAGTTTCTTATAACACCTCTTTTAACATTATCTGATCAGGTGGACGAGAACAGTAAAGAACCAACATTAAGCTTTAAAAAACTGCTAAGATCACACTTTATGCTATCATGCATGCAACCATATAGCAGTTTAATAAAAAGTAGAAGATATATGCTTGGAAAGCATGCCATTAATGTGATCTGGAGAGGAGGTGTGAAGTAGAAAGGCGAGGCAGAGGGGACCCCTAATCCTACTCCTTATGACCTTACCAGCAAACAATGTGATCACCAAAGGTCAGGCACAAAGAAAGTTTGAAATCTTAGATAGATTTAATTAAGTAAACACTAAACCATAAGAATAAAGAAAATGAATTAGATTAAAATTTAAAATCATGGACAGAAAAAGAAAGGGGGGGTGGGGGGAGAAAAGAAGACCTGTATCCAAAGCTGTGATTGAATGTCCCGTGATCCAGCAGTGACCATCCCACCTGCAACTGGAGCAGGAGGTGTTTTACCACGCAGTGCAGGATGCGTAGAAGAAGTTGCAGCACCCCAGTAGTCCATACCAATATTTAAGTTTGTGGTCGGACCAGGGATAGCTCCTGGAGCACCTGCAGCTGACATTGGCATGACAGCCATTGTTTGATGTGCATTTGGCCCTCCATTCTGGGAACCATGCATAGCTCCACCATTCTGAGATGCTTCAGTAGTGACAAAGAAATTGCAATAATTTTTCATTAAACATCATGGAAAACTACAAAATTAGTGACTGCATTTAGAAGGAACATTCTTATAACCGAACCTTCCAAAGAATCTTGCCTGCTTCCTGACTTCATTTGTGAGTCCTGCCCAAAATCAAAACAAACAAAGTATATGAAAGTGCAGTTACCCCCAAAAAGTTTCTTTTTAGTGAAGTTACAACCATGAACCATGTAATTTCGTGGTCAATGAACCATATTACATGGTTCATATAGGACACAGTCATCGAGTCCTCATGCAAAGTGGTGCATATGGCTGACATGCAGTAATAAAAAGAATTTATGAAGCGTCAACAGACAAAACAATATATAGCTATAATATGCAATAAGATAGGCATCTCAATATAAAATGAAAATTTATTTCGTCCATGCGTGGCTATCTCAAAAGCAGCCTTGTCTGTGTCTGAGTCTCTGCCAGAGAAAATTCTTCCACTACCAATGGACAAACATTGCTCACAACCATGTCTAAAAGCTAAGAATAGTAATTCCAATGCCATACATACAAAACAAATAGGCAAATCATATACCAGATACGCTGAATGAGACCTAAGAATACGTTTGTAATGATGTATATAACAAAATTCAATAGTAGTGTATTATATTTGTTGATTCAATAGTAGTGTATTTGTTGATTTTGGTCTTCCAAAAAAAATCTTCCAAAGAATTTTTTATGCATTATATTATTGTTGGAAAATATATTACAGTTAAATAGCTCAAAATTCCATATTTGATCTCATAGAGACATACATATGAGTTCATTATTTAGACGACCAAAATCAACAAATACAATACATACTATATGAACAATATTGTATGTATATGTAGGTTCACATACAATAGAAATTTTTATAAATCATATTTTTGTTGCACATAAGAAAGTATATTATAGTTAATTAAAGAGCTCAATATATTGTCCTGTCCTCATTGTGTTTGCACACATGCCCCACTTTTACAATATTCATTGTGTCAATGTACTTATGTCATGCATCCACATCCACATCCACATGAGAGACAGACAGCACACGTAATATCGCTAGTGATACTTCTTTGGCAGCAAGTAAACAAGTATTTGCCATGCACACACGTGTATTACCTGTAAATCCACACACACCCAGTCCCCATATATTTAGAGTTTCATATTTTGCTCAGGATTATACTAAATAAAGCGCTGACTCTTCCCTCCCATTAACCAAGCTAGACACTCGCCTGAGAACCCAAATTTCTACCTTCTTTGATCTTTGTCAAAACACCCAGCACAAATAAAATAATAATAAAAAAAAATCCTCCTAGTCTAAACTCTAAAGGCCTAGCAGAATAAAAAGCCCTCCTTGAAAAAATTCCCCATATCCAAGAGCCTATTTAAAAATTTAAAAAAAAAAAAGAAAAAAGACGAGAGAGAGAGAGAGAGAGAGAGAGACTCTTTATCCAAAGTCTCAAGGGGAAAAAATCCTCATTATCCAAAGGAATATAAAAAACTAAATATTCCTTGTCCAAAGGCCCAACAAAATAAAACAATCCTTGTTGATATGCCACAATGATCAAGGTTCAATAGAATACTCCTTGTTCAAAGCCCAAGGAAAAAAAATGAACAAAAACCCTCCTTTATCTTAAGGCCCAACAAATAAAAACCCCCCTCCTTGTCCAAAGGCCCCCAATGGTAAAGGTGGTAAACCCAATCATAATTACAAGAATAGATATGAAAAAAAAATGAATTTTATAAAAAGCAATGAAAAATTTTTATAATATAATTCAGATATTAAAAAATAAAACCTTCAAGAGATTTCACCTAAGGCCTACAAGAATATTGGGCCAACCTTTACTAAATTGGGATGAAGAAGGTGCTTCTTTACATTGATTAGTAATTTTCTCTTTTTTCACTTCAAAATATCATATTTTATTTAACAGAGAAATTTGTTAAACAGATATATTTGAAATTCCTAGTTTAAACAGTAAAAGGGTTATGGAACATGACAACCTCCAGAACAACTTGAACATAACCTTAAGCAGAGACTTCAATCCAGCAGAACTCTGACCCCCTCAAAGGCCTCAGGGAGTAAATTTGCAAGAATGGTAAGCAAAAGACAGTGGACCAACCCTAACATATGAGCCCATCTTGAGGTTCCAAATTCAAGTAGCAAGTTCTTCAATCACTTAAAGATAGTATCACAAATACAACACAAAACTTAAATATCCGTCGTACAGATGAAGCAAATGTATTAACAATAAAAGCCTTAATTCCAAACATCTACAATTTCATGCAGAAACTGGACAGATGTGAATGGAATGGATGCATAATCAACTCAATTTAACAATTCTTAAAAACAATAATACATACATTTTGAGAACTTCCTTCACTTCCTTCACTTGAACCTTCACTCCCACTGTCATCACTGCAAACCCAACATCAGCCATCAGTATCAAGTGAGTGAGAGTAAAGATAAGTAGGTTGCATTCACTAGCTTAGGCCACAAGTACCATGAAGCAGAAAAGCAGCAGGGCTTCTCAAGTCCAAAGGCAAGAACAAACTATTAAATAGATTCATCAAATATAATATGCTGACAACATAAATGTAATGACAATTATCATAAACTTTCACAAAATGTCCAAATGATCAAGGTGGAAATGATACGCTGCTTTTTATTTTTTATTTCATTGTTTGGAGTCACGTGGGCGATGCCAAGACCAAAAAATGATTTGTTTGCTCATCAATGGAGAAGTGACATGTTCTCTGGCAAAAAGGAGGCTTAGCTAGTGGCTCCTTTGTGCATGATTTGATCATTTGGGTTAAAAGAAACAGGTCTTTTGATGGATTGAAGAAAACAAGACTTGCAGATGGTGTAGGATCTTTCTGGGGTTACTATTACTATATAATTGGGCTGCAAGGAGACTAGGGAGGATAACCCTATACATAGATGCTTATAATTGTTGACAGCATCGAAGTTTTGATTGTGTTTATTACAAACTTTCCTACTCATTAACCATAAATAAATGTTTCCTCTTAGTTACCAATGTAACCTTTTTAAACCCCCCTTCATCCAATCTCCAAAAGATTGACTCAAAAAATAGTGAGTCCCATAAATTAGTTTCTTGAATCCAAAGCCATAGGTCAATGGTCCTCATTACATCAACCGGCAGTGCACAGTAGGCATGGATTTGCTACTCAAACTTATTTATGGCCATGCAATTCATGACCCAGACACATATATCTTACCTTTTGGAATAGACTCCATTAGCAGATCCTCCTGAGGTTTTACCAGGTTCATTATTTTTTCCTGTAATCATATTCAAACTGCCCAAACTTCCCTTAGATCTCTTGATGGGTAGCTTTTCCTTCCCCTCAGATAACTTAACATCAGCATCCATGCTGCTAGGCGTGTTCCCCTAAATGGAAATTTACATGTCATGCTACAACCAATCCAAATGGCCAGTGACATTAATTAACAGCAAACTAAATAACAATGGAGTTCAAGTAACTCACAGAAGCCTCGGCAATGCCATTAGGGGAAGGAATAGCAAAAGGACTAAAAGGATAAGATCCCTATTCAAGTTTGAAACACGGCATATATAGTTAGTAGCATGATAGCATCCAAACAATGAGGGTATGATTTGAGAAGCACAAATAAAAGACGATCAGCAAGAATTACCGGAGGCATGGATGGATGAGCATATATGCCACCATGGGGATACATAGCAACATATGGATGTGGTGGCGTACCATAGGGCGGCATAATGTGCTGCATATAAATATAACAATTACACTACAAAGCAGAAGCTTAATTTGCAAAAATCAAATAGAATATTAACTAAATTTCTGCACTACAGCTCAGACACTTGAAGCAATGGACAAGCCTCCATCACCCAACCTCGCCCATTTCTAGACAATAGTTACTGGAAGAAAAATAAAAAATAAAAAATAAAAAATAAAAAAAATACGAACCACACAGGTACATAAAAAAATAAATACAGACACATAAGGACAAGGCTACACAAAAATGATCTGATGCAAAGTGAAAAAAAACTCTAGTTCAGGATATTGCAATTAATGCATATTCTAAAGATTTCATGTACAATAGCAAAACAGATTGTAGCCTGCTTGAACAGACCATTATCGCTTACTTATGATAATAATGGTTACAGATAATCTGAGGAAGAAAAAAAAATGTTTTACAATATATGCATACAATTATATTGATTTTATAAGTGATACTAGCATTTTAGTGGGACTTAGGATCACAGCTTTGTTTGCTCCTGTATATTTCACTGTACATAGGTTGCACCCCCTCCAACACCTTCAGTATCAAGGACAATCATTTACCAAAAATAAACAAGAAAAATGTGGCAAGTATAACATAACACGCAAGTACTGGAATTTCAAAACTATCAGAAAGCCTATTTCCATCTCTATATATATAGATATCATATGCATGGATTGTCTAGTGAAAATGTAGTGCTACCAAGTGAACCAGGGTGCCAGTGAATAAATAGGTTAAACCGTTAGTCATCACAGAACTTACCTAGACTTGCTGACAAACAAAACCACCAAAGTGCAACATAGTCATTTAACATACCAAACTCACAGAACTCATGTTTTAAGGCATACCAAACTTCTGCAAAACAAAGTTCATCTCGTTAAGGTAAACAAACAACTGGTACGGTGTAACACAGTCATTTAACAAAAACCCTCCAAGTGCCCAAATAAATGCTTGACAATGAATAAGCACGTATTTACAAAGGGTCAGATCTTTGAACTCTTGGGCAAAATGAATGAGGGACAAGATGAATTGGGAAGCTAAGTTAGGCTGAATGACAAGCTTAACCAGGCAAGTTGAGCACTTTCTAGCTAGATCAATATTCAACTAAGTGAAGATTAATTCAACAAGCCAACATAGAATTGGGAAGCTAAGTTAGGCTGAAAGACAAGCTTAACCAGGCAAGTTGAGCACTTTCTAGCTAGATCAATATTCAACTAAGTGAAGATTAATTCAACAAGCCAACATAGAGCTCAGGTTGGCTCGTGGAATGCTAATACGTCAAGTCAATCAACTAGTTAGTCTCCAAACTCTCCCATCTTCATGAAATTATATCTCTTAGCAATCCAAAAACCCAATCTCTACAATGAGCTAATATGATACATTTATACATATATATATATATATAACTGACAAAAGTAAGTTTTAAATATATGAATTGACATACCCACACTCATAAAACAAACTAATACAAAAAACAAATATACCTGAACTCCCCACATGTAAGGGTGAGCTTGAGGGCTTGATGCCAAGAACCCGTGTGGAGGCATAGGAGAATATGCCTGTTACAAACAAAATCTATACCAAATAACTACCTATATCAAAGTTCTCAACTGAACAAAAAAGGACCAAACTAGATGGGTTAGACAAAGGAACCTGAAAACCAGACCAGTCTGGAGCAGCTGTGCCAGTGGGTGTAGATGAAGGCTGTTCCTGAACAACACCAAAGAACAACCATACTAGCACCAGATCTTCAACGGCATAACACGCATGCTTGCAAATTGAACAGCAATCAACAAATCACACAAGTATACCTGCGTAGTAGGCGTCTTAGATTCCTTCGCCTCCTTCGGCACCTTTGCAGGTTTATCCATCTCACTACTACCCATGATTCAACAGCACCAACACCTCAAGAATTCCTCAAACCATCCTTCAATGCATAAACAAAATTACAACAGTGCATTTCATTCAATTCGAAATCATACACATACACTGTATATCTTTGAACACAATACATTTGTTTTTTTGTGTAAAACATATTAGTATCGATCTAAATAGAGAAAATTCTTTTAACCCATCATGCACACAAAAACTAAAATAACAATACTACCCAAAAAATAAAAAATAAAAAATTGACATTCAAAACCCTAAAAGAACACAAAGAAAGCTAAATAATGAGTATAAAGATATGAACTTGATGAGCTCAATTACCGCAAAAGCTGATACGAAATCGTCCGAGCACAATCGAAGATCAGAACGTGTGAGTCAACTCAGTGCTCGAGCACTGAGACAAAGGCGACAAGGTAATCAATCTGGCAACAAATTCTAGGGCAAATTTGAGGAAACCACGGATGAAGATTTGGGGAAAACTAGGTATGTAGAGAGAGAGAGAGAGAGTTAGGGTTTTCTATTGAAGCTTTTGTGAGAGATCGTTGTTGTTCGAATTGTGCCTCTCTCACTGTCAAGCTGATTTGCAGAGAAGGAGAGAGCTGGAGGAGAAGGAAAAAAACCCCATCTGCTGCGCAGTGCAATTGCCCTCTTGTGCTTTTAACGAATTGCTGTGATTGATTCGATGATTTGTATCGGGAATGGTATCAACGGCTGTGATGCCCTTAGACGTATAGTTTCGTGGGTATAAGATGTATGTTGGGTAGTCCGAATTAGTAAATGCGTCGAGCCGTCGAACACGTTCACTCTTTTTGAATAGTGGGTGATTGATTTATGAAAAATGTATGACACTAACGGATTGTTTGTGGTGTTTTAAGTAAATGTATTTTTTTTATTTTTTTGAATTAAAAATTAAGGGAAAAAATATAATTGTTTGAATTAATTTTTTGACTTTTTATAGAAAAATGTATGTTAAAAAATTATATAAATAAGTATATAGGGGAATAAAGTGATTAATAGGCCGTATGGCTGGCAGCCTAAAGGGTAGCGCGGCAAAGGACTTTGGAATAGATTGGTTCTTTACTTTTTGGGCATAAATTGGTCGGTTTTGTTTGGCCCGTGAGGGCCCACCAAGGGTTCCGTTTTACTAATAGGAACCGTTTAATGTGTAGAACTCGTCGAGTACTATGGGTGCGTTTGTTTGGACGGACTGGATAAGAGGGAATTGTAATCCATCGGACTATTAGTCTTGAGATATATTGTCCCGGAACTATTTGATTGGACTAAATTTATATCCTATGTTTGTTTAGTCATGGGATTAAATGTCTGGATTTGACTATTTTTAGTTATCCAATATTTGTTTGGAATATTATGGAGAATGATAAATGTTCAAATGACTATTTTATCTTTTTCAATTATTCAATATTAGACGTAGTTTTAATATTTTAATTATTTTTACCTAGATTAAATAAAAATTTGTTTTATTTTATTTTTTTCACAATATTTTAATTATTTTAATTTATTATTTTCAATTAAATTAAATTAAATTCATAATTTATAGTTTATATTTTTTATTTAATATATAATTTTAAATTAACGACAATAAAAAATAAATTTATTTAATATATAAATTAAATTTTCAACAACACTAAACAAATTTAATTTATAAGGTCATAATTTATAATTTTTTATTTTTTATTTAATATATAATTTTAAATTAACAACACTAAAAAAATAATTTAATTTAATATGTAAATTTAATTTTTTAACAGCACTAAAAAAATTTAATTTATAAGGCCATAATTTATAATTTATAATTTATAATTTATAATTAAAATTTTTTTATTTAGTATATAATTTTAAATTAATAGCACTAAAAAAATAATTTATAAATGTTCAAAAGACTATTTTATCCTTTTTCTAATTGTTTGCTAAGTAATAGCATGGAGGGTAAAATTGACATTTCACAAAATAATCTCATGGGATACCAATCCCATGGTTTCTATCCCACCTCCTCCCATGGGATAAGATAGTCCCATATTTATGGGACTAATAGTCCGGAGTAAAAAAAATGAAACAAACAATGGACTATTAGTCCAGTGGGACTAATAGTCCAATCCCACTCCCTAATTCTTCCAAACAAAAACACCCTATATGCTTATAAAAAATCACGTTGATTGAATATCAATAGTTATCTGATCGTGTTATTTTTTTTGTTAACTATTAACTATAACACCATATTTTTTATACAAAATTGATTTGATCATATATTTAGCGATATTCGATAGATGTAATTTTTTACAGGCATATAGTACTAGACGAATACTACATATTGAACGGTTCAGATTATTAAAACGGGACCCATGGTGGGCCCCCACTGGCCCAGCTCTACCACCAATTTAATGAATATTTTACTCTCTTTTTTTCACCGGTCACTGATCACATCAGTACTTTGTTAATTGTACTTTTTTTTTATTTGTATTAATATGTGGAAAATATTTTTTTAATATTTTTTTTTTTTTTTTTTGTAAATAGTGATAACTTTTTAATATTTTTAGTAATTTTTTGATTTTTTAAATTTTTTAAGAGTTTTCAAACCAGTACTAAATAAATAAAATAATAGAAAAATTTTATGATATACATTTTTACATAGGTGTGTTATATTTTTAGTTATAATTTTTGTCTTTAATTATGACATGATTTATTATGTTATTAATTATGATTTATTTTTATATGATATTATTTTAATTATGATTAAAGAGTTCTTTATTATTATATCTAAGTGTGAGTATTGACCTGTTGGGCCACCCAAGTTGGCTGGCCAAGTCTTATTTTTTAGGCTATGTTTGGCAAGAGCTAAACGGGTTTTTTTTGGCTATTTTAGCTACAAAAGACAAAATAGGCTATTTTAGTCACAAAAAATAAAATATCACATCCAACCCATAATCATTACATTATTCTCTCACAAAAAAAGCCAAAAAAACCAAAAAGCCAAAAAGACCTTCACAAACTAAACTTTTTAGCCCAGGCTAAAATAGCCAAAAAAGCCAAAAAATTAAAAAGCCAACCCACTTCCCAAACGAAGGCTTAAAGACTTGGGAATATTGTTTTAACTTATAGAGTCGGACTGGGTTAATATTATCAACCTAATATTTTAATGAGCTAGGTTTTGGGTTTATATTTTCAATTAATTAATTACTATTCACCCAAAAAAAATATTTTCAATTAGTTAATTAATTATAATATATATATATATATATATTTTTAGAGTAAACTTTATCTTTGTTGAATTTATTGAACTCACATTTGTGGTGCTGTGTGATTGAATTTATTTAAGAAATCTTTCAATTTATAATGATATCAATATATTTATTTAATAAATATAATATGTGATTGAATTTAATTATTAAATATTTAAAAAAGGTTAACATATAACTTGATGGATGGGTTTAGAATTTATAATTATTTTTTTTGGACGGGCTTTGGAAGATGATGTAGAGACCCGATGTTATGGTCAGGCCGAATTGGGCTGGATTGACTTTGACAGACACAAAATCTTTTATTATGTGGCGTTGGCCCAACCCAGCCCGATTATAATTTATACTTATGTGGTTTTGGTTATAACTTAAATTTTTTTAAATAGTTATAAATGTCATAAAATTAAGTTATATGGTTTGTGATAATCAACAACACAAATGGTATAACCTGCATATTCTTAAAAATTTAAGTTTATAATCGTCATATATTTTTTAAACAATATAATTTTTTTCGCATCTCTGGTGATTTCAAATGAAATTATTTTTTGTACAACTCAATTCTATTAGTAAGTCTATAAAATGAATGGTTCAAATAATCATTACAAGCCCGAAATAAGAGTTATCACAAAAGGGAATATAGATAATAATAGTCTAAATGAGAGTCAATCCTGGTCCCTTTTTCATTTTTTATATAAAATTTAATTACAATTTTTTAAATAAAGATTATTTAATTATATTTTAAATTTTAATTATCTAATAAGTTAGAGAAAGAGAGCTTTTTATTTATATTTTCTAATTATCAAATTTTAATTTATGATTTTTTAAACAATATGATGCTATTATGAATTTTGATGGATCGGTACGGAAGGCCCAAGCAGCTATTGAAATTATTATTCGCGACTGTAATGGGATAGTTATTGCTTTTTATGGTTGAGTGAATTTCTTATCTGGTGAATGTTGACTGTATGGAAGCCTTGGGTGTGGTCAAAGCGCTTCAATTTAGGTGTGATTTAGGTTTGGGTGATATTCAGTTTGAAGGTGATTCTTTAATTGTTGCGTCTGTAATTTAAGAAAATGAGGATAATTTATCTTATTATGGTCCTTTGGTGAGTCTTTTGTGGTTCCATTCATCATCGGTCTCGCATGTTTATAAAAAAAACAATTATGTGGCTCATTATTTAAGTAGGTTGGTCTCGCATGTTTATAAAAAAAACAATTATGTGGCTCATTAAATGTAGGAGAGGGTTCAAGAAAGGAGTTGGAAAATTCGAAGATCTTCGAAGATCCTTGAAGAACAACTTCGAATTCTCTAGAATATGATGAGAGGCTTAGATTCTTCAATAATCTCAACTTAGGAACACAACAACAAAGGAGATGATGGAGATAAAAAAAAAACAGTAGACTAATATCCCTTTCACTCAAATCATACTATTCATTTTCCACTAACTAAAATAAAAAAATATTTTTCTTTGTTTTGCTTACTTTTAATTTATTTATAGACTCCAACGTTATTATTTATTTACTTATCTATATATCTAAATTGTTTAAATAGTCTCTCAAAGGGTCTTTTATTAAAATAAGGAAATGATCGAGACCGGGCAACCCCACACATTTGTGAGAGAGAGGGAGGAGAGAGAGGAGAAAAAAAAATATGTGATCATAAATCAATTGAGGGTTGTGAGAGTCAAAAATAGTGGGGGTTTCAAGTATTTTTGTATTAAAATAATTATTAAAAAGAAAGTCTAGGATCCTAGGTTTTAGAATTTATCTAAAATGAACGTGTGTGATAGAGATTAAATTGATGAATTATAAGATCCACCAATGAAATAAATTTAAATCATTAATTATTGTTGGATAAATAATTATGAATTTATAATATTACTGTTATTTATTTATTTTATTGAATCAACTCTAATTACTTAGAATTAAAAGAAAGATATTTAACAAGAGCCAATAAGGTACAAGGAATCCAATCCAATGACAAAACCTCAACCCATGCATGAACCGTCCAACGAGTCGCCTCATTAACTATTTAAACCTGCCCAGGCTTACAATAGCTAATTTGCTGAAATATGATAATCAATATAACTCGCTTTTTTAAAGATTTCATAAGGGTCCTCTCCGTCTGATCTGATTGATAAATTTTATGTAAATCTCATAATATTGAATATTTAATAAAAATTTTAATAAAAATTTAAAAATTTTAACATTTTTGAGTGCATAAAACCATACTGGACAAGGAAGAATTCACCGTAAAAAACCCAAAAAGCCTGTCCTATCTCACTTCGTCTATCGTTCTACCTAGCCTTAAAATTCATCTCCGCGCCATCGACAACAGCTCTCATACCCCCTCTCTCTCTC